AGCTGGTGCAATGCAGGTGAGCGCCTGCTCCTGGCCCGCCACCTTGGGTGGGGGGGGTCCCCACACCGGCGGCCTGCCACAGCCTGGGTCACACCCTTCTTGTGGCCTGTTTCACGCCCCTTTCCCTGGTGGGTCTGCCACATGCACCCAAAGCCCAGGGCCCAAGCTGGCCTGCGGTGGTTACGCATGTTGCTCAGTGATCTTCCTCTCAGAAACTGTGGTGAGCCCATGTCAGGGGCCCTGGGGCAGGTGCCAGGCACTTGGCAAGTCTTTGCTCCATCAGCTCTGATCTGGGCATGGAAGCCCCTTCCCGGGCTGCCCTGTCCCTCTGCCCTGTCTCTCAGCCCCTCAGGGGTCTGCCTGGCCTGCCCTGCATGTTGGCACCTCTGCTTGTCGGCAGGCCTTGTCCCTCACCCACGTGGCCTCTGGGTCCCAGGCTTGGAGAGACTCTGGCAGCAGCTGGGACCCCACAGCAGGCTGGGCCCCGGGTCTGGCTGCTGCCAGCTTTGCACACACGGTGGGCTGCATGTGCGTCCCCACGCCCACAGCAGTGCGCCGCTCCTCAGCACGGGTTCAGCGGGCGCAGGGGGCTCAGCGGGCGCAGGGTGGGCAGCGGGCTCAGCGGGCGCAGGGGGCTCAGCGGGCACGGGGGGGCAGCAGACTCAGTGGGCGCAGAGGGTTCAGTGGGGGCAGCGGGTGCTTCTCCTGGCTGTAGAGACACAGGGGAAGGGGCGTTCCCAGCCCAAGGCCTGCATAAGAGACCTGAAAGTGTCCGCAGTAGTCCTCGAAGAAGCGCTGACCCTCTGCAGACCCAGACTCAGCCTCACCCGGAATGATGGTGCAAATGGACCCCTCAGGCCCCAGGGACGCTTTGTGAAAGTGGCGGCACCAACTGCTAAAGCATGGGACCTGGAACTCTGGGGTGGGACAGAGGGACGCACGCTTTGCAGCACTAAGTGTCCCAAGAGCCCACTGTCCCTTTGCCCAAAGAACCCCCTGCGCCTGCCCGCCCCTCCCCCACCCCGCGGGTCGTGCAGCGGCCGCAGGTCCTCCTACCGCACAGGCCCCCTGCCCCCCGCTCCATGAGTCTGGGCAGGCCGGGGTGAAATCCCAAGCGTGAGTTTGGGAAGTGGTGGGCCACCCACACACCAGAACAACTTCACAATTTTGTTGATTAGGAGCAACAGACCCGGGGAGGCATCTGTGTGGAATGGACACCAAGGGCGTGGGAGCAGCGCAGAAGGGACACAAAGCTGCGCGGAGACGGACGTCCACAGGGCTCACCAGCAGAGCCGGGCTCCTGTGAGGGCAGCAGCTGGTGGTGCCAGCCGGGCGCTTGCCCCGCGTGCTGGGGCCCGGACGCAAGGACAGCCGCACGAAACACCTGGAAATGCCGGGCTCCAAGGCATGCTGGGCGGGAAGGCACCACGGGCGCGGAGAGGTTGGCACGTTCCCGTGAGACCCGCTCTCCCAGCCCGGAGAGCCCAGGGGGTGCACCCCTCAGCACCCCTTTTGAGAAATAAGTTCACGACGGGCCCTTCTCGGCAGCCAGAGAGCTTGGCGGGCATGGCCGCCGTCGAGCCGGGCTTCCTGAGTTCAGCAGGGGCACGGGATCCTGGGGTGGCACCCAATCCCCAAAGACGACTTGGTGGCGATTGCCACACGCGGCGGTGCTCAGAAGGCCACCAGACAGAGGTCTTCCTCCAGCGGGCAAGGAGCCCGGGCTGTGGCGTGGTGCAAGGTGAACAGGTGACCGTGTGACCAGTTGCAGACGAGAGGTGTCAGCTCCCCGTTGCGCTTGCACGTCTGTGTGCCCATTCTGTCCTCTCCCGCCACTCCCGTCCCATCTGCCACAAGCCGAGCTGGTAGCGGCCAGGCTTCTGAGTTTGGGCTCCAGCATCTAAGGGAGTGCGTGGCTGGTTGTGCGCTGCTGGCTGAATCGCGTTAGTCAGATTTTGCTACTGGCTTTACTTGGAAGTGAAGTCAGATGCACTGTGGCGGGTGTGCACTGGGTGGGCGGACGCCGCGCACGGCGGACCCGAGCCATAGGGGACGTTTTGCCCGCGGTTCGGAGGACAGATGTGAAGCAGAGGGACAGTGCTGTGCCTGAGCTGGTCACAGCTGACATCCCTCCATCAGAGCTAACATCACCAGCGGTGAGACAGGTTCGCATGGCATCCGCTGACGGCGTGCTGTGCGACACGGCGCCCTTCCCTGGAGCCCCTGACGGAGACATGCAGCCCCTCACCACGAGGGAACACTGGGCAAGGCCCAGCTGACAGGCTTTCTACAAAAGAACCGACCCCCAGGCTCCAGAAATGCCAAGGTCATAAAGGTCAAGGAAAGACTGAGGAGTGCTCTGGGGTGAGGGAGACGAGACGGGCCGTCCCAAACCACAGGTGAGCCTGGACCGGACCCTTTCACTACCTGTTCAGGCAAGAGGAGTGGGTGACCTGCAGGGATGCGCCGAGCTGTGGACACTCCTCCCAGGACACTGTGGGGGCAGGGTCTCGGGCCACGTGCTCTCACTGCAAACACAAAGCAACTGGACGCCAGGAACCTGGGGAGGTGATGGGTGTGTTTATGACCTTGATTGTAGGGATGGTTTCACGGGGGTTTGTCTATGCCCTCGCTCCTCCAATTGTATACATTTAATCTGTGCAGTTCAGTGTTGCTAAGAAGAAAACCCCAGGCCCAGGGGCGCCTGGGTGGCTCAGTTGGTGAAACATCTGCCTTCGGCTCAGGTCATGATCCTGGGGTCCTGGGATCAAGTCCCACATTGGGCTCCCTGCTCTGTGGGGAGCCTGTTTCTCCCTCTGCTTGTGCGCTCTCTCTCTCTTACGAATAAATAAATAAAATCTTAAAAAGGAAAGCAAGAACAAAAGGAAGGAAGAAAGGAAGAGAGAAAAAGAAAATCAGAGGCCCAGGGGCGCCTGGGTGGCTCAGTCGTTAAGCATCTGCCTTCAGCTCAGGTCATGATCCCAGGGTCCTGGGATCGAGCCTGGCGTCGGGCTCCCTGCTCAGTGGGGAGCTTGCTTCTCCCTCTGCCTCTGCCTCTCTCTCTCTCTCTCTCTGACTCTCATGAATAAATAAAACATTAAAAAAAAAAAGAAAAAAAAAGGAAACCAGAGGCCCAAACTGTAGTCACTCATATCAGGGACCCTTGACCCAGTCAACCTGGGAATGTCCCGGTCGGCACTCGGAAGTGTCTATTCCTCTTAGGAGAGCCACCATGCCTGGAGCAAGGCATCCTTTGCTAATAATTTCCTTTTTCCTAGTCTCTCTCTTCCTTTAAAAACCTCTCCTTTTCTGCCGCTCAGTGGAGTTCTTCTCTACTTGCTAGATGGGAAGATGCCTAATCCACAAATTGATTGAGAAAGCCAATTAGATCTTCAAAATTTACTCAGTTGAATTTTTGTTGACAGTGTCTATCAACTATACCTCGATGAAACTGTTCTTTTTAAAAAGAACATCACTGGGAAAATTTATGAGACCTGAATGGGAGCTGAGGACACATGGTGCGGATTCGTGGTGTTAGTCTCCTGGATTGTGTGTTCGTGCGTGTGCACGTGTGTTCATGTGCACACACGTGTGTGTGTGCGTGTGCAGGATAATGTCTGTGTTTGAAGGAAGCAGACATGAGGCTACTTGGGGGTGATGGGGTGCTAGTTTTACTCTCAAATGACGCGGTGGGGAAGTCTGTAGCATCCTTGCAATTCTGAATTATTTCAAAATAAAAATTATCTGTAGCATTTGAACTGTGTCTGGAACACAGTGGCAGCCTTGGAGGGATGGAGCACGCGGTGTGGTGTTTTGATTTGGGGTGTGAGTTAATGGAAGCGGGGAGGCGCTTTTAACCTGTGGGTGTTTGGGAGAACACTCCCCAGAGGGTCTTCTGTGAGATCAGGCAAGGGGGGGCGGGGGCTTGGGGCTGGAAGCCAGCTCCCAGGGCTCTGGGAGGGGTGGGAGCAGGTGTACTCCATCCTGGGGATCTTGGATGAGACCTGTGGATCCCACTGTAGATGAGGGCTCAGCCCTATGCCGCCCCAACGTGCTTCCCAGGCACGGCTCCAGTGCGCATTCTGGGGGCCTCGCTGTGCACACAACTGTTCCGCCCCCACAGCCGGCACCCTGAGTCCCTCTTGGGAAAGGATTTCTAACAAGTGTCTGGGAGGAAAGCCAGATTGCATGTGCTGTGCCATGCCCAGGGCAAGGATTTCCTCAATTTTACTCCCCGATGATTCACGAGGGCAAGGACATGCCCAGAGGGCAAGCCCACCTGGGCCTCCGGGAGCAGAATAGGTGTCAGAGAGGCAGGTTGCGCTTTAGGACAGGAGCCTGTCTTCCCGGGACCGCACCTGGGGTCCAGCCAGGCCTGAATGAGGGAGAGGCAGCAAGGGCCCCCTGTGTGTCAGGGTCACACCTGGAGGGCCTGGTGGAGGGGTCATGTGCCTGAACTCCGGACCTCCGGACAGTGGCTTTGGTCCTGTGAGGCCTGTGACATAGGACTGGAAGGCACTCGGGACATCCCCTTGGACTCATCCCCAGGAGCAGACTCACCATCAGAATCCACGGGCATCAGTGGCACGAAGGAGAAGCCCACAGTGAGTCCTTTGCCACTGCGAAGAGTCCACCCATCTGTGCTGAGATGAAGTTCCAAAAGGGGGAGGGAAGGGAAGCAAAAGGGGGCAGCTAGGGAAGGAGAGAACCCCCCCACCCCCAGAGCCACCCCTGAGAGGGAATGAGGGCACCTCAGGGCGGCCACACCTGTGGACAGGGCTGAGCACTGTGCTTGCAGGCCCAAGGGACAGGAGTCCTCGGGTGGCCAGGGGCACGTGAGGAAGACTCTGGAGGTGCAGTGGTCCCCAGACCGGGGCCATGGTGCAGTAGGGTCAGCGGGGCGGGAGACCAGCCTTAAGCCCAGTGTGCCTTTGCTATCATGCAGGGTCCAGCTCCAGGCCATCTGTCCCCAGCCAGCCAAGAAGGGGCATGCCCCCCAGTCCAGGGTTTATTTTTATTTCCTTTTCCAAAACTCAGGGTGGAATTTTTGGCCAGCACCTTCAGGTTGTGGTGAGGAGGGCAGCAGATCCCTGTGAATGTGGAAACAGAAGCTGTTGTGATGCCCCTCCCCTGCCCCGTGCCCCCAGCCTCCCTTCCTCGACGCCCCCAGAACGGCCTGCCCAGGCCTTTAAAACCCCCGTGCCCTCCTCTTCCGCTGGACAGAGGCTCAGAGTCAGCACTATGCAGCTGAATTCCAGTGGCCTGCAGGCCCTGGTGGCAGGGGCAGGGAAAGGTGGGTGCGAGCAGGGCAGCTGAGGGTGCGGGAGGGGCTGAGGTGGAGAGTAAGGTGGGGCCCGAAGCCTCACAGGCCTGTGTTGGGGTCGTGAGTCCCTCCATGCATGTCACGGACCACCCCACCAGCAATTATCCCCTCACTGCACCCCTGACAGCCCCTGGACCTGAGCCCAGGCTGATGTCCACCACCTAGCAGGCTGCCCTGGAACAGGACATTGGCCACTCCCTGGGCAGTGCAAGACTCCCTGCCCCCACACGGTGGCCCTCAGGCTCAGAGATCCAGCCAGGGCCTCTTCCCTGGGCCCAGTGGGAAGGAGCCACTCTCTGGGGCCTCCCTTGGCCAGACCCTGGCTGGCCAAGCCTCTGACTCAGACCGCCACTTACCCCCTGGTGTCCATTCTCTGCCCAGCACTCACTGCTCTTTCCTGGGCAGAAGGGGATGCAGCCCCGGTCCTCAGCCTTGACCCAGATGTACTGGGCCATCTGCTTACCCACTGCACCCCTGCAGGGATCGGGAGAGACACTGTGAAGGCCCTGCATGCCCTGGGAGCCAGAGTGATAGCTGTGAGCCGCACCAACACTGGCCTGGTCAGCCTCTCCAAGGAGGTGAGGCATGCAGCCCCGCCGTGGCCCGAGCAGCCTGCCCCCCACACCCTCTGGGTGCCTCATGAGCCTGCTGGGAGTACCTCCTTGATCACTGACCAATGCCTCTCCACAGTGCCCCGGGATAGAGACTGTGTGTGTGGACCTGGGTGACTGGGAGGCCACAGAGCAGGCACTGGGCAATGTGGGCCCTGTGGATCTGCTGGTGAACAATGTTGCCATGCTGCTGACGCAGCCCTTCCTGGAGGCCACCAAAGAGGTCTTCGACAGGTGGGGAGCTGGAGAGCAAGTAGACTGGGGAGGGGTTGCTGAGGACGTGGGGCAGATGTGGCCACGAACCATCTGATTGTCTGCCTTCCCCCAGGACCTTCAATGTGAACCTGCGCTCCATGATCAGGTATCCCAGGTGAGCCAGTGGGAGGACAAGGCCCAGTGATGACAAGGCCCAGGTGGGAGTGCGGTGGAGTCAGGCTGCCCCTCTCTTGGCTTCTAGATTGTGGCCCAGGGCATGATCCACCAAGGAGTGCCTGGCTCCACTGTCAGTGTCTCCAGCATGGTGGACCATGTCTCCTTTCCCAACCTAGCTGTCTACAGTGAGTCCCTCTGCCAGCCTGCACCACCCATTCCATGCAGGAGATGCTGGGCTCTGGGGCTTAGCCTCTGTGCAAAGGAGGCTGAATCCCTAAGGGGTCCTCAGGACTGTCTGCCCTCCACAGGCTGCACCAAAGGCGCAATGACCATACTCACCAAAGTCATGGCCGTAGAGCTGGGACCATACAAGGTGGGCATGGGAGGGGGGCCCTGGGGAACAGGGGTGGGGGATCACATAAGGTGGGGTGCAGGCAGGGCTTGGGGCTGGCAATGGTAAGGGGCAGCAGAGGGCATGGGAGAGGTCTGAGGATTACCCAAGGCTCTGGGCAGTGGGGTCAGTGATGGACTGAACACAGAAAGCAAGTTCTGCAGGTGTGTGTTGGGGGGCTGCGCAGAGGCTGTGGGGGCGGGGCTCATATACCTGCTGAGGCCCACTTCGACCCCTGGGCCCTGGAACCGGGTAAACTCCGTGAACCCCAAGGTGGTGCCGATGGCCATGAGCCAGAAAGTCTTGACGGACCCCGAGTTAGCCCGGAAGCTGAAGGAGCGGCACTCGCTGCAGAAGTTTGCAGGTCAGCGGGGCTGCGGGGAGCGGCGGGGCGCGCCGCTCTGACCCCGCCTGCCCCCCCGCCTGCCCCCCGCCGCTCCCCGCAGAGATGGAGGACGTGGTCAACGGCATCCTCTTCCTGCTCAGCGACCGCAGCGCCCCCACCAGCGGCTCGGGCATCCTCGTGGACGCCGGGTACCTGGCCTCCTAGAGCGCGCCGCGCTGGCGAGCCCGGGGGTGGGGGTGGGGGAGAGGCGGGGCTCGGCCCACCGGGCCCCGCCCCACACTCGGACCACGCCTCCCCTCCAACATCCGGCTCCGCCCAAAACCCGGCCACGCCTTCACGCCAGAGGCCCCTTCACCCTGCCGGCCCCATCAGCCCCTCTCCCATCCAGACTCGGTCTCTGGCCACGCTCCCCATCCGCACCCGCGCTGCCGGGAAACCCCCTGTCGCCCCCGCCCACTGTGTCCTCCGCTGTGCTGGTTGGATTTGCCTAAATAAATGGAGGCCGTCCTCCTGGATCCAGTGCGTGCCACGGTTTTGGAGGGGTAGCCGCGAGGCCGGGGAGGAATCAGGGATGGGGGGCACACATTTCACTTTCCATGAAGTGAGGGGGCAGATCCTAGAGCCAGCCGGACTCCACCGCCGACCCTGGCTTGTGGCTGAAGGGCAGCGACTTGTTTACACAGAGATTCTTGTCCATGCCTCTCCCCCAAGAGGCCAGAGGCCAGAGGCCGGAGGGCAGCCTACAGCTACCTTCCCTCCCTGAAGGCTCTGGTCCCGCCCTTCAGCCCCGCCCCGCAGCTGCGACCACGGCGGGTCAGAGGGGTTACGGGTCTCTGGGGTCTGGACTAGACGTAGGCCATCCCTCGGGAAGATGGGACGGAGCGCTCAGCCCGGCTGTGAGGGGGCGGGGGGTGCTGGACCACCCGAGTTTATCCAGCCCAAGGGAATCCAGTTCCACCTCCAGGCACACCTCCCCTCACAAGACCACTCCCGGCAAGGCGGCCCGAGCTGGGCAGGGGTCCACAGCTGCTGCCCTGCCTTCTGTCTGGCCCCAGGCCAGGCACAGGAGCTCTGCGGGTCCTGCCGGGCTCAGCCGCGACCCTCCGAGCCGAGTCCCCACAGGGCACCTGGGGGGTGATGAGGCCTGAGGTGGTCACTCAGCTAGACTGGAAAAGTCTCCAACCTTGAGCAAGGACGCAAGGGATGAGGGGCTGGGGTGGGGTCCTACAGGCAATGGTTCCCCTGGGCAGGGAGAGCACAGGGTCGGGGTGGGGAGAGCTGAGGGCGTTTCCCGCCAACCTGCAGGGCCTCCCACAGCAAGGTTTGTGCCAGACCTGGCCGGCCCACTGAGGATCACGGGACAGTTTAGAGGATTTGGACCCTGTTCTGGGGGCAAAGGAAAGCCACAGAAGGGATCAAAGCACATATGCCTTTCAGGAAGGACTTTCAGGTGGGGGGCCACTCTTCCCTTGGCCTCTGGGAGGCAGAGGGCAGGGTTTGAGCGGCAGCCGGGGGTGTGCACTTCAGGACCAGGCTTGGTGGGGAGGACTCACTCGGCTGTTCTCCAGGGGCTTCTCAGATTTGTGCTTTGTGCTGCCCTGGTTATACCTTCTTCTCCAGCCAGTCGACTCCTCCGGGCCCAAAGCCCCAGTGACCCAGAGGCCCTGCAACCACCAATTCCCTACTCTTGGCCATAGAAGGGTACTCCAGGCAGTTTTGGCTTTCTCACCATGACCCACTAAACAAATCAGCTTTTATGCGGGAGGCAGTGCGCACACACACATATATATATATATCTCATATATATCTGTGAATGACCCCAAAGCCTCAGGAAGCAATGCTTGCCCTTGCTGGCCACTGTGCACCTCGATGACCTCAATCTCTTCTTATCCTACCCGAGTTTTGTAAAGTGCCGGTGGTCTCAAGTGGGAGCGCCTGGATGATACTGGGGTTCAGCTCCTTCAAGGTTTAAATGGACCTTTGTGGCATTGGCTTCTTCAGGCTTATTTAGTTGTCCAAACTCTCCCTTTGGGCCCTCCAGGTGCACCCGCCTGAGCCAATCCCAGGTCGGGGGGTGGGGAGGAGGCATGCAATCCTTTTCACCAAACTTTCCTTTCCAGAAACAAAACAAGAAATGTTAGCACTCCGTCCTCCATTTCACATGTAGCTACACATTCTTTCCGGCATTAACTACCACATCTGCTTTTTTGTAACAACCCTGGCAAAAAAAAAAAAAAAAAAAAAAAAGGGCAAAAAAATGCTCGCGGAGGCTGCTAAACCGATTTCACGCCCGGTTGACTAGCCGCCCCTGCCGCGCCCACTCCCTTCGGCGAGTCTCCCGCTATGGGGGGCGCTATTTTAATGTCCCCGCCCCAGCCCGGACACCGGCCTGTGATTGGTCGCTCCGCGCCCCGCCCTGCCCCGCCCCGCCCCGTGCCCTCCCACCTGCAGTGTAGTCGCCGCCGAGCGCTGGGACCGAACGCTGACCATGGAGCTGGGGCTCGCGGGCCGCCGGGCGCTCGTCACTGGGGCGGGCAAAGGTGGGCCTGAGGGGCTGCCGGGGTGGGGGGACAGCGGGCGGCCAGGGTCCGGGGGTGGCCGTCGGGCGAGGTGGGGGTGAGCCACATTGAGCCGCGCTCCACGCAGGAATCGGGCGCGGCACTGTCCAGGCGCTGCACGCCGCGGGTGTGCAGGTGGTGGCCGTGAGCCGGACCCGGGCCGACCTGGACAGCCTGGTCCGTGAGGTAGGCGCCCCCCAGTCCCCGACCAGAGGGCAGCGGGAGGCGGGCGGGGCGGCGGGGAAGTTGGGCCCGGACGCGCAGGCGCCAGGCGCTGGGGCTGACCAAGGGTCCTCAGCAACCGCTCCCGGGGCGCTCGGCCTTCATGAGCGGCCCAGTGTCCGGAAGAACGGCGACACCCGCTGGGCTTGGAAGGAGGCAGAAATGGCTGCTTTTGCAGGCTCGGGGCCTGAGGCAATAGGGTGCAGGAAGTGGACTGGCCAGAGGCTGGGCCAGCCTCCAGGTCCCTAAGCCCTGAAATGCCCAGGGGCCCAGGGGCCCAGGGGCCGTGTTAGCTCCTCTAACACCTTCAGCAGCCTGGGATTCTGAACCCCAAGAAGGGACCTGGACCCTCTGGGATCTCTAATCCCTCCCCATGTCAGTCTGAAAGGTCTCACGTGGCAGAGGCCCAGCTGTGCCCCTCCTTGGGCATGGAGCCTCTGGTAACTGTGCCCCCCCACCCCCATACGCACAGTGCCCTGGGGTGGAACCCGTGTGTGTGGACCTGGGTGACTGGGAGGCCACGGAGCGGGCACTGGGCAACGTCGGCCCTGTGGACCTGCTGGTGAACAACGCTGGCGTGGCGCTGCTGCAGCCCTTCCTGGAGGTCACCAAGGAGGCGTATGACACGTGAGCTGGCCAGGGTGGAGGAACCCTAGGGCAAGGGCTGCCCCCTGCAGCAGCAGCCCCAGTCCCTGACCAGGGTCTCTCCACCTGCCTCCAGGTCCTTCAACGTGAACCTACGGGCTGTCATCCAAGTATCCCAGGTGAGCTGCCTTCAGGGCAGGAGTGGGAAAGGTGGGTGACTAGTTCTGCGTCATGCTCCCTCTGCAATTCCAGATCGTGGCCAGGGGCTTAATAGCTCGGGGAGCCCCGGGCTCCATCGTGAACGTCTCCAGCCAGGCCTCACAGCGTGCGATAACTAACCACAGCGTCTACTGTGAGTAAGCCCCGGCTACACCCTAGCCCCGACCCCGCTGACCCCCAAGCCTGCAGCCAGCTCAGGCTCGAGGCATGCCTCTCCTCACAGGCTCCACCAAGGGTGCCATGGACATGCTGACCAAGGCGATGGCTCTGGAGCTTGGGCCACACAAGGTGAGCCCCACTGGGATGCCTCCCATCACCCAGCCCACCTGCCCTGGGCACCTAGCCTGCCTTGCTGACCTCCTGCCCGTCCTGGTGTAGATCCGCGTGAACACGGTGAACCCCACAGTGGTGATGACCTCCATGGGCCAGGCCAATTGGAGCAACCCCCAAAAGGCCAAGACCATGCTGGATCGAATCCCACTTGGCAAGTTTGCTGGTGAGTCAGGCAGAAGCCCAGTGGGGAGTTGCACGAGTAGCCCCTGTACCTGCCTCGATTGAGGAGTGGGAGGGAAGGATGAAGAGCAGCCCCCTTCACCTAATACCCTAACTTCCACCCTGCCCACAGAGGTGGAGAACGTGGTGGACATCATCCTTTTCCTGCTGAGTGACCGGAGCAGCATGACCACGGGTTCCGCTGTGCCAGTGGATGGGGGCTTCCTGGCTTCCTGAGTCTCTCTTCCTGACACGCCCCTGCTCCATGCTGAGCCCACCCCCGTCCCCCATCTCTCCAATAAACATGATTCTTGGGCGCCTGGGTGGCTCAGTCGTTAAGCGTCTGCCTTCGGCTCAGGTCATGATCCCAGGGTCCTGGGATCGAGCCCCGCATCGGGCTCCCTGCTCAGTGGGGAGCCCGCTTCTCCCTCTCCCGCTCCCCCTGCTTGTGTTCCCTCTCTCGCTGTGTCTGTCCCTGTAAAATAAATAAATGAAATCTTTAAAAAAAAATTCACTTAAACAAGGTTCTTCTGGGCGCCTGGGTGGCTCAGTTGGTTAAGCGACTGCCTTCGGCTCAGGTCATATCCTGGGGTCCTGGGATCGAGTCCCGCATCGGGCTACCCCTGCTCTGCAGGGAGTCTGCATCTCCCTCTGCCTCTGCCTGCCACTCCCCCTGCTTGTGTGCTCTTTCTCTCTGTCAAATAAATGGATAAAATCTTTAAAAAAAAAAAAAAAACATTCTTCTGCCTAGCCTGCACACTATTTCTAGGCGGTTGGCAAGTGGCCAGAGATGCAGAGCCCAGTGCTGCGTGTGGGAATGAGTCCCAGGTAGGCAGTCACCGTTCAACTCACGTCCCAGGCCAGGTGGCCGGCTGGCTCCCACGCCTGAGATTTTCAGACCTGGCCAAGTCCCTGGCAGGGCCCGGGAGGTAGGACCTTCCAGAAGGCCAGCTCCTAAGCATGGTGATGTGTTTGACCAAGGATGGCCTTTGGCCCTGTCCAGAGGCCTTTGGGGTGGAAGCCCCAGAGTTTTTGACAACCAGTTCTGTGGGTGTCGTCCTGCCATAAATGTTGGTCGATGCTCATCAAAGGTAATGAGTCAGACAAAAGGAAACGAGAAAGGCGGTTGTCGGAGCTTCGCGGATCCGTCGACGATCTGAAAAACTTCTCTGCTGAACCAGATGATGGTTTTCAATTACGGAAAGAACATTTTCTCACCTTTTTTGAGCTAATCACAAAGTACTGAGTGCACAAGACATGGTGCATGTGAGTATAATCTGCATTTCTCCGTTGCTTGAAGTCTCAACAATGGATAGTAAGCCAAGTCCCTGGGGGAGAGTCGCCCGTTCCCACAGCGTAAAGATTCCCACCCATTTGGTATCGTTGAGGGCAGGGTTGGGGAGAGATGCACACTCTCCCACTTTTTTTTTTTTTAAGATTGATTCTTAGACAGAACATGCAAGTGGGGAGCGGGGAGAGGGAGAGAGAGCATCTCAAGCCGACTCACTGCTGAGCGCAGAGCTGATGGCACAGGGCTGGACACAGGGCTCGAGATCATGACCGGAGCCAAAACCAAGAGTCAGGGGCGCCTGGGGGGCTCAGACGGTTGAGCGTCTGCCTTCGGCTCAGGTCATGGTCCCAGGGTCCTGGGATCGAGCCCCGCATCGGGCTCCCTGCTCCGCGGGAAGCCTGCTTCTCCCTCTCCCACTGCCCCTGCTTGTGTTCCCTCTCGCTGTCTCTCTCTCTGTCAAATAAATAAATAAAATCTTAAAAAAAAAAAATTAAAAAACAAAAACAAAAACCCAAGAGTCAGAAGATCAACCGACTGAGCCCCCCAGGTGCCCCGAGGTCTCCCACCTTTATGTTGCATCCTCACCACACAGACACGGTGGGCATAAATAACCCCAAAAACATAGGTGGTAGCACTGTGTACAAAAACATTAGGAGTGTTTGGAGTATTTGTTGATTTTGTTTTTAATATAGCTAACTGTAAGTTTACACAATTATAAATAAGGCTGTTGAGCAACTGCCTAGCAAAATTCCCGAAAATCCGGCATTTGGCTCTTCAGAGTTAGGTCGGGCCTGTTCTGCACACCACAGGGAGGCAGAGTTCTAACCACGTGTCTGCCTGGAGTGTGCCCTGGGGCCTCAGGTGAAGTCCGAGCTCCTGGACTGTGGCTCCCGGGGCCCTCCCAGGCTGACCCCTAGCTCGCCTCCCACTATTCCTGACTTCGGCGGTGACAGGCTTCCCCCCTTGCTGCTGCCTCCTCTCCTCTCCGAACCATGCTTGACCTGCACGCTTTTGTCTACACTGGATGCCTTTCCTCCTGACCACTTCTCTTCCTGAGTTCCCGGCTCAGTGTCCCCCAGCCCTGGTGGGTGGGGGGAGCTACGGGGGAGGCTGCTGGCACAGTCCTGCCAGGGTCTACATAGGGCTTGGTGGGCCTTGACCGCAGGCTGCCCCTCACCACACTGGGAGCTGCCTGACCAAAGCCCACCTCACGCCCCTGGGCGTGCCCCTCTCAGAGGCCTGAGGTCAGGACAGCAGGGGCTTTTCTTCGCCCCAAAGGGGCCGCATGCTCTTACTCCCACTTTCGTCTGGGTCCCATCCTTTGGGGACTGACACAGCTGAGCAAGGTCTTTCTCTCCTTTTGCCCAGCGTGTGGGGTCAAGCTCATCCCTCTGTACTCTCTATGCGGGAGGTTAGGGGCAAAGCAGCCCAGGCCAGAGAGACAAGCACCCAGAGAGGCAGGAGATGTTGGTGGAGAATGTTTATTGTATAAAAGAAGTAAGGGCCACCCCTGCCTGGGGCCCATGAACAGGACCCATCCCCCCAACCTCCCCCATCAGGAAGCCCAGCCGGGGGCTGCCCTGGACCCGCCCCTGCAGCCCGAGGGAGACCCTGCTCCCTTCCAGCCTCCTGTGGGGTCCAGGTAAAGCTGGAGCTGTGCCCCCAGAAAAAGGAGACAGAGCCGACAGGACTCCACTGCCCCAGCCCTGTCCCCAGGAGCGGTGGCCTCGTCCCCCATGCTTCTACCCCCTCCCCACCCACACCACTCCCCCACAGCAGACTCAGGGACACCAAACATCTCAACACGACAGCAGACACGGGTTGGGCGGGGCTGCTCCTCTCGAAGCAGGCTCTAGAAGACTGTGCACTTCTTCCCCGGCTTTTTCACGGGGGGTGGGCAGAGCACAGCCCGGATGGCCTCGTCAAACACGGTCTTCAGGCCCCGCTGAGTGAGGGCTGAGCACTCCAGGTACTTGACAGAGCCTGGGGGCAGAGAGAGCAGGCGCTGCTGAGGATGGGAGTCAGCAAGGGAGAGGGCAGCGGGGGGGTCAGCACGGGGGGGGCCCTCCAGAGCATGCCTCCTGCCCCTTCTTTCCTGCCCCCACCTGAAGGCCCCGCAGTGCCCACTCACCGATCTCGCGGGCCATGGCCAGGCCCTGGGGGTAGGTGATAGGTGCCAGCTTCTTGTCCCGAAGCCGTTCGATGGTGTCCTTGTCGTCACGGAGGTCCAGCTTGGTGCCCACCAGGAGGATGGGCGTGTGGGGGCAGTGGTGTCGCACCTCTGGGTACCACTGTGGGGATGGAGGCTCTGACCCCTACACCTGGGGGCTTCCCCCACAGCCATGCCCACAGCAGGCCATGGCTCCCAAGGGTCCCTTCATCTCAGTCCCTGGATCCACACTGAGCCCTTCCTGCTTCAGGAAGCGGCCGGTGGGCTTGGTGGGGAAACAACCAAGGACAAAAATACATACGTGGAAGTCTCAAGGGCCTTTTGGCCCTCCCTGCTCTGAGAGCCTCACTCATCACCCCCACCCCACCTCTGCCTCTTCATCACTCTCCCTGGGTCACCTTCAGATCCAGGCAAAACAGGGATCTCCTCTGCCTCTAAAGGACAAGGGACCTAAGGTCTTCAGGCAAGACACCCCTGCCCTGCCAGGGAAAGTCCTCTGGACACCCCCTTCTCCTACCGACAGGCCCCCTCCTGGCAGCACTGCCCTACCTTGGCTCGAACATTCTCAAAGGATGCTGGGCTCACCAGGGAGAAGCAGATCAGAAAGACATCCTTGGGAGAAAGGGTGAGGGGGCCCAGGTGGGAGTGGTCAAGGACCTCCAAATGGCCCCTGTCCCTCCACACACACACACGAGGACCTCAAGGACCCCACCCAAGCCACCCAGCTCCTGGGGCCGGCCCTGCTGTCACCTACAGTTTGGGGATAGGAGAGCGGCCTCAGCCGGTCATAGTCCTCCTGCCCGGCGGTATCCCACAGCCCCAGGTTGACCGGCTTCCCGTCCACCATCACGTTGGCAGAGTAATTGTCGAAGCTGCCAGGCAGAGCACGACTGTCGGTCCAGGTCTTGGGCTCTCAGGCCCGCACAGAACCTGAGCTTTGGCGGCACCCTGGCCCCACCCCAGAAGCCCAGACCAGGGCCACCTGGGCCTGACCTCGACGCCCAGGGGAGCCCTGAGATGGGCTAGCTCCAGACCCGCCCACCCGGAGCGCTCACACGGTGGGGATGTACTCTCCCGGGAAGGCGTTGGTCGTGTAGCTGATCAGCAAGCAGGTCTTCCCCACGGCGCTGCGGACAGAGGGCGAGCCCACGTTGCTGCCGGGCCAAGCCTCAGCCCTCTGCCCAGCAAGGGCAGCCCCCTCCCAAAGGACCACAGGCGGAGACAGGGGTCCCAGCCCAGCAGAGCTGCAGGCGGGCCTCCAGAGGGTAGGGCGGGGGCGAGCCGGCTCAGAGATCCCGGCGCCCCGGCGAGGGTGGGACCCGCGCAGGGCTCAGTCCAGGTGAGAGGCCTGGCCCCACCCACCAGGAGGCCAGGCGGCGGCCCGGGCAGCATCAGGTGGGCCTGGGCTGCAGGCCTGCGCCCGGCGGCCAGCCGGGACCCCGCCCCGGCGCGCCCTCCCGCTACTGCCCGGCCCCAGGGCGCGCGCCGCACGGGCGTCAGGGCGTCAGGGCCGCCCCGCCCGGCCCCGAGCCGGCACCCCGCACCCCCGACCCGGAGCCGTGCGCTCAGCCCGGGCAGGGTCCCCGGGGCCGCCCCCGCCCAGCCCGCGGCCTCCGCGACGCGCACTCACCCGTCGCCGACCACCACGCACTTGATGGCCTGCATGGGCGCGGGCCGGGCGGGCGCGGCCGCGAGCCGAGCTGCGGAGAAATGCCCGGCGCCGCAGCGGCCGCGGACCCGAGCCGAGCGCCGAGCCGAGCGGCCGGAGACAGCCGAGCGCCGCCGAGCGCCGGGCGCGGAGACAGCCGAGCGCGGCCGGCGGGGGGCGCGGGGGGCGCGAGCCCGCCCCGAACCCGGCACTCGCCGTTCCGGGAGAACTCTGCTGAGGGGTGGGGACACGGCGACCCCCGGCCAGTCCGCAAGCCCCGGCGGGCTCCCCAGCGCCCCCGGGATCCAAGGCCACGGGCCAGGGTGCAGCGCGGGCAGGTGACTCCCACCCCCCACCAGGCCGTGCGTGGGGTGGTCTCTGCTTGTAGCTTCTCCTAGGGAGGGCGCGCCCAGGGCCCACTGCCAGAGGGGATGAGACCCCCCCCCGCCCCCGCCCTGGTGCTGGCAGTCCCCAGTCCCTCCGCCGCTGGAGGTCGCCCACAGTAGCTCCGCAGTCACCACCGGTCGTCAGTAGGGAAGGGCCACCCAGCTGCACCCGGAGGGTCTTCCTTCCAGGGTTGGGACAGAGGGTCTCCTGGGTGGTTGGGAGCACAGATGACGTGGGAAAAGGTACCGGCCCCAAAGGTATCACAAAGTGTAAAAGTTGTGTATTTCAAAAGACCCAGGAGGCCTGGGCCAGCGCGCAGCACTCCTGGTTACATTGTAAAAGGAGCATGTGTGGTTACATTGGAGGAGCTGATTGTGAGGAGGGGCTGGGGTGGAGCTGGGGACAGCTCTTTTGGATTTTCCTCCGCCATGGGGGCTTTTCCTCAGATGCATGTCAGGCTTATCACCTGGTACTGGGAGGAAGGCTCGGGAAGGGCCCAGGGGGTGCCCCCTCCGGTCCTGGTGGCCAGCAGCCCTGGGCTGGCCTAGCCCGGTAGCTGGTGCTGAGCAGCGGCGGTCCCCACTCACTAATCCGGCTGGGCCCCAATTTTCCAAGTCCCCAGCCGTAGACCCTGCCTCGGCTGCCAGACTGTCAGCCAGGCTGTGTCTGGAGACGCAGGGACGGGCAGCGATGGGGCACACATGTCTAGGAGATGCTGCCCTCCTGCCCTCCCCGAGTCTCCTGCCTCCCTTCACTTCTGGGGGTTCACAGCCCTCAGAGGAGACCCCTGGACATAAGCCAGGACAGCATTTTGCAGGAAGCCGGCCCTCTGGGCCTCCTCCTCCCGGATCCGGGCGATCTCGGCCTCCTTGAGCCGAAGCTTCTCCCGGAGAGAGGCGTTCTCACTCTCCCTGTCCAGCAGCGCCTCCCGGTGGTCACCTGCGATCACTGCAGGACAAGAAACACGGGGTGGAGGCGGCCCCAGGCAATTGGGAGGTTGCCAGCGGGTCCTGGTGGGGCTTGTGCGGGGTTCCCCGGCGGCCAAGCCCAGCTCTGCAGCCTACCCGCCCAAGGGACGACCCAGTGACAAAGGGTCCTGCTGAGATGGCGCGGGGCTGGGGCTCCGCTCACCTTTCAGCCGACGCTCCAGGGCCGCCACCTTCTCTTTCAGGGCCTCCTGGGCCGTCAGTTCTGCCTGCAGGCGGCCATTCTGCTCGTGCAGCTCCACCCGCACCCTGGTCACCTCAGCCACCTTTTCTTGGTCCTTGTTGCTCAGTTCCTGCCAGACATGGGGGTGAGAGTGTGGCGGGGGGGGGGGCCTGGGCGGGCGGGTGTGGAGGATGTAAGGGGGGGCACCATCCCAGCCACCTGCTGCAGCTCCTCCAGGCGTCGTCTCAGGCCTTCCACCTGCAGGCCCAGCTGGCTGGCCCGGGCCTGGGCCTCGGCCACTGTCTGCCTCTGCTGCAGGCAGGCGCTCTGAGCTTCGTCCCGAGCCTGGGCCTGCAGCCGCAGCTTCTCCTCCAGGTGAGCCAGATGCTGCCGCTGTGGGCACAGGAGAAGGGCTGGTGAGCAGAGCGGGGAGGGCCCAAGCCCTGCCTGTTGCTTCCCTCATGTGGCCCTGAGCTCACGGGGAGTGGGAGGGATCCCCCCCAGCTAGAGGGGAGCTTTCATTTGCAACGTGGAAACTGCCTCATAACTCAAGTTAGTATGTGTGTATATCCCGAACAGGCTCAACTTGAACTAGCCTATAGGGAGTACCCAACTCCCAGGCTGAGCATTCTGCCCTTTGGGTCCTGGCTTTGGCCATGCATACCCATCCCAGGGCTGGAGTCAGTGGCTCTTCGTGGGGGTCGGATGTGATCCAGGACCTGTGCTGCTCTGCCTCCTACCATCCGCCCCTGTACCCTGGGGACTCCCCCTACAAAGCTTTTCAAAAGACAGCCTGGGTCTGGCCTGTGCACTTCAGCCCCTCAGGCCTCGCTCCCTGGTGGCCATGGGCTCACCTCCTCCAGACGGACTTGGTTCTTGGCCTTAATGAGCTCCTCCTCAGCCTGGCCACGCTCACTGAGAGCCGCCGCCTTCACTCGGCTCAGCTCCTGCACCACAGACAGTGACCCACTGGGCCTGTTCTCCTGCCCTGGCCAGGGGCTCCTCTGGCCCCACCCAGCTGCCAGGCGAGGGCGTATACCCCTGCACTAGCCTCCTGAGGGCTCTGGCCACTCGGCAGGGCTGCCACAGCCAAGGGATCCCGTGTCCTACCTCATTAGGTTCCTCTGGCCTCCCGGGGATATCGACGGGCGGGTCCTGATGAGACTCTGAGACCACCAAAGGGGTGCCCCAGGGAAGGGCAGAGACTTGCACCCAGCCAGCGCATGCTCACCTCCTCCAGGGATAGCCGCGAGGCCTCCAGCCTCTGTACCCTGTCCTGCATGGCTCTCTCGCTCTCTTCCAGGTGACGAGTCATGTGCTCCACCTGCCCAGGTGAGGGGCAGGAAGAGGGCTGAAGACTAGCTCCCCAGCTTACACCCCCCACGGACTCCCCACGCCGTGGCGGCAAATCCTGGGGACACTTCCTTCCCAGAAGGGGCTGCCCCTCATGGCTTTGCAGGAGGCAAGGCTTCGCAGTGCCACACTCAGGTGGCAGCCCGTGCTAGGGTCCTTTCTAGAGGCTGGCCGGGAGTTTTTGGGTCTGGCATCTGCCGGGGCTGGCAAAGAACGCCCACCCAGCCTCCCAAGGTTGTCAGGGGGAGCACAGCCAGGGGTGTGCGTTGGGGACAGCTTGCCACCCTGGGCGGATGGTAGCGACGGGAGACCAGATGGTGTAACTAACAAGCACCTCCTTGGCTCGCAGCTGCTCCAAGTCCTCCAAGCTCTGTCGGGACCTTTTCTTCTCCAGTTCCAGACGCTCTGGAAGCGCAGGGGGCAGAGCACGGGTGGGGCTCCCTGAGGGGCCCTCACTCCCTGTCCTCCCCCCTCTGGGGCCCTCAGCCGCGGCCTGCCTGTGCCCACCCTCGGCCTGGTTGGCCCGCATCTTCAGCTCCGCCGTTGTGTTGCTCAGCTCCTGCCTGGCCAGGAACAGCTGCTCCTGCTGAGCTCTCACCTTCCGCTCCAACTCGTCCACCTGGGAAGCCAGCACCGTGGGCGGGAAGCTTGGGCCCTGGCCCCCTGCCCTAGGCCCCTGCCCCAGTCTCCCCGGGGGCCTGGTCCCTCACCCCTCACCTGGTTTTGCAGAAGCAGGTTCTTCTCGTTGGCAGCAGATAAGTCTCTGAGGAGCTTAAACTCCCGCTCTGCAGCCTCCTGCGGGTGAGACAGGGCACCACCGGTCACCCCTGCCAGGCACCACCCGCCCCCCTGCCCGCCCTGCTCACCTGCTGCTCCATCCTGTGCTCCTTTGCCTGCCTCTGCGCCAAGTTTCGCTGTTCCTGCTCCGCGGTGGCCAAGAGCTCCCCCAGGCCCTGGGCCTTTTGCTCTGACAGGGCCAGGGCGGCCTCGGCCATCTGCAGCCTGTAAGGAGGGAAAAGCCAGCCCCGCCCCGGCTTCACCTTGAGCCTCGCAAAGGCACTGCAGTTCTCATTCTTGCCAACCACTAGTCACCTCAGCTAGAGCTCACATCCTCCAAGAAGTCTTCTGGGATTAACAACCCCACTGTCTCCGCCCTCTACTTTGTACACTGGGGACTAGGGTTCTTGTCTGTATCACTCTTTTCTGCCCCCTGGCACATCCCTAAAATGTTCCAAAGCCACCCCTCCACCACTCTCCTACCCTCTGCCCCACTTACTTGGCCTTGAGGGCATTGATGATGGAATGTCTCTCATTCAGGGCTTCCTGAAGCTGCCCCACGCATGCTGCCGATGCCCTATGAGTAGAAAGGCATGTCTGGGAACCCTGAAGCTCAGAGCACTCCCAGGGCCCCTTGGCTCTGGTAGCAGCTACCGCTCCTCATGCTTCTACAACTTTCCAGGTGTGGCCAGGGAAGTTCTCAGTGCTGCCCCAAACCCCCCAGCCAGTGTCCTTGGCAAGCACATGCTACCAGCTCATCGGTGGGCAGGTGACAAGGCTCAGGGCCAGTCAGCCCATAAGGCCAGAGCCAGGACCCAAACCTCAGGCACCCCACCTGAGCTGTAGCTCTGTGGCCCTGGGGCCACACTCACCTGCTGCTCCTGGCCATCTCTTTTCGCTGCTTATCAATTGTCTCCATCAAGTCCAGAAACTGGGGACAGAGCCAACCAGAGCCCCGTCAGGGCCCGGAGCCTGCCTACTGCCCCTGGTTAAGCAGGAAGGAGGGCAGATGCCCACCGAAGCAGAACAGAAAAGCATCTGCCTCATCCGAGAGGGGGATGGGGCTCCCACACAGCGAGGCCCACTGCCCACCCACCCGGCCAGAGGTCAGACCAAAAGGCTGCCTCTCAGGCCTGAGTGTTGGCCACTCAGAGAAGCTCTAGGGTCCAGGGGAAGGGAAGATGACCATGACATGGGGACCAAGGTGGGCCCTTTGTCCCTCCAGCTGGAGTGAGGCTCTGCGGTCAGAGGCAGTGCTGTCCTCACCTGCCTGGATTTCTCTTCCTGGAGGTGTTTTACCTCCTTGCTGAGCACATGGGTGCGGGCCTGGTTCTCTCGGGAAGTGGTCTGCCGCTCCTGGTTGTGGTCCATTGCTTGCTCTATGGGAAAGAGTCCAGTTATCCACCAAGGGGGCTGCTCAGGCCTCAGAGTGGCCAAGTTAGCCCAGCCCTGCGCCCAGAAGCCAGTCATCAAAGAATCAATACTGTTGGCAGTCTCACCCCGCAAATCAGAGCGCACTAGGAGGTGAAGGGCTTGAGCAGGGGTAGGGATGGGGGTAACGGTGGGGCCGGGAACCCTGGCGCACCTGTGCAGGGCGGCCCGCACATGGGAAGAGGCAGGGGAGAATGCTCAGCTGCCAGAGGTGGATGTTATCTTGGGGCATTTAGGCTCCATCCCAAAGACCAGAGTCCACTATATGACTTTTAAGAATTGAATGTCATGCTCAACTCCTGTGTTCGGGAGAGATTTAGGCAGCATTTGGAGAAGAGCCAGCCAAAAGCTGGGGGACTAGGAAAAGTTAGGGATGACGACACAGGCGGGGCAGGCCCAGCAGGAGGCAGTAGCCCCGTGCAGGATTCCAGCCTAAGTTCAGGCCCTGGGGTGGCTGGTGCTACTGGAAGGACAAGTAGCTGTGCGGAGTGGCAGAGTGTTCTACTGGGCTTGGGGCTGAGTTGTCGGGGTCACTAATGGGAGGGGACCATGGAGCCCAGGTGGCCCCACACCCACGAACTCTGGGGTGCCGGGGCAGATGCCAAGAAGCCCCTTCCCAGCTGTGGCTGGGCCACCAAGGCATGAGTGTGGCCCTCAGGGCAAGGCCCCAAGCTACAGTGCCTCCGTTTCTTCATCTGTGCAAGAGGTGAACCCCCCATGTCGCAGGCCTGAGAAGGGAGCGTGCACACTGAGGAGAGCTCAGGGCAGCAGAGAGCAGAGCTCCGCAAGCTCACTGCCACCATATCCCTCCCCGACATCTTCTCCCTCTTCTTCCTGTTTCTGATTTAGGCTACCTCACGATGCCTGTACACATCCCCGTCCTGAGCCTCGAGCCGCCCCTCCCGCGGTGGCTGGCCCTGTCAGAGGGAATCAGCTTTATGCCCAGCTCAAAACAGCACGAGCCATCAGCAGCCCTGAGTGCCCATACCCACAGCTCTGAGGATGTCGCCTGGGATGTTATTCCCAGCCAGCTCCAGCCTCCACAGGGTTCTGTTGCGGGGGAGAGAGTTCACCAGGGCCCGGCCCCCCAGGAGGCCGATGCTATTCCAGCGCAGGTCTGGAAGGAAACCTGTTGTCACCAGATGGAATGCACCTGGACAGAGCTGGTCCGGCCCGAGACGCTTTCTTTGGGGAAGGGTACTCCCTGTGATCACCAACAGAGCAGGGGCCCCGCTCACCGGGCCCTCCCCACGACACCTTCCCACCCCCTTGCTTCCAGAAGAGGACAAAAGCAGCAGGAAGGCTGAGGGAACAGTGGCACAGAGCTCCAGACCGCAGACCTGGAGGAGAAGGCCAGTGCGGGGAGGCCTCACCCAGCTGCTGGAGGCTGGCGTTGCATGTCAGGGCCAAGGCCAGCTCCTCCGCGCCCTTGTGGCTGATCTGGTTGTTGCGGAGGTCCAGCTGCCGAAGGGTGCCGTTGCCCGCCAGGGCTCCGCAGAAGGTGGCGAAGGCATCTTCCCACGTGCCCAGGTTGTTCCACTCCAGGGTGAGGCTGTAGGAAAGGTGGACGTAAGGTGTGTGGCCCCAAGGAGCACCCTGCTGCCACAGGGGCCAGAGGAGAGGTGCAGGCTTCAGGACCTTGGTGGAGAGGCTAGAGCCACGTGAGTAACTTATACTTGCCAACTCCCCACCAACGGATGGGAGACACAGATGACCAGCCAGGAGACGATGCGCTCAGGCTGCAGAATGCACCCTCTGAGCCAACCCCGAACCACTCACGGGGGTGGGAGGGGTGCTAGGGGCCAGGACCACACTTACCTCTGAATGGACTTGTTCTGCCGGAGGAGTTGTCCCAGAGCCTCAGCACCTGCAGCTTGAAGGTTATTGCCCTAAGTCAGGAAGAGGCAGGCTGGTTAATTCCCTGTCGTTACAGGATGAGCTCCAAATGCCACGTCCACACCCCATAGGGCCCTGGTCAGGCAATGGATGAGGCCAGGTGGCCTGCTCTCAGAAGGTGCAGCTCCTTTCAGATATTGCTTTCCCTGACCGTAGTGGGCCTCCTGGTGCAGGTTCATTGTTTGCTCATGTGAACACTTTGGAACTCACATTCCTGACCTCCAATCACCACCCACCCACCCCATGAGAAATGGGTGTGGAAACCTATGTGCCAAGAGTACTTATAGACACTGTCAATGGCCACCATTCAGATTTTCAGGCTGCCAGGACACTCAAATCTCCCCCCCCACCCCCCCGACTCCCAGTCTCAAGTAGCATGCCCGAGTGCGGACCTGCTCACCTTTAGATCCAGAAACCGCACAACGGTGTGGGCACACAGCCCCTGGAGCAGCAGTGTAGCTCCTGTAGGGAGGTAGGGCCCTCACTCCGTGCCCCTGGAGCTCCTCCCTGTGGGCTCCAGCTTGGAGCAGCTCCCCAGACACAGGGGAGAGATGACTGTCCCAGTGGCCCCCAGTGGTCAGGATTCATGCCAGAAATGAGTTGCCCTGCTCACTGCCAGGTTTGAAACATCTGGGGCGCCTGGGTGGCTCAGTCATTGGGTGTCTGCCTTCGGCTCAGGTCATGATCATAGAGTCCTGGGATCAAGCCCCGCATCGGGCTCCCTGCTCCACGGGAAGCCTGCTACTCCCTCCCTGACTCCCCCTGCTTGTGTTCCTTCTCTTGCTGTGTCTCTCTCTGTTGTAAATAAAATCTTTTTAAAAAAAAAAAAAAATCTGTAATCTCTGCTAGGCACAGAGCCAGGCTGCTGACCTTATGCTCACCAGCACACTGGATCTGTCCTAAGTCAGGGGAAGGTAAGGTTTCTCTGTTACAAAGAGAAACTGCCCTCTGCTGCCAGGGACGCTGCTGCTTTAACGACATATAGTACAGAAGCACAGAAACCTCACAAAGATGAGGTCTGGTGGGACTGAAGAGCTCTCTGCCAGAGGCTGCCAAGGAATGAGGGCCTTGTGCAGCAAACCAGGGCAAAGAGAGAAAGGCCAGGCTGCCCGTGGTCAAAGGGCTTGATCCCAATCCCAACTCTGAAGTTGCGAGGGGGGCCCTGGCCCCTGCCCATGCTCGGGTGCCCACCTTCCTCGCTGAGCATGCAGTCACTCAGGATGAGCTCCGTCAGCAGTACCTCCTTCTGCAGCAGCTTGCCCAAGGCCCTGCAGGTGTCCACGGTCAGGCTCTGGGTGGCCAGGTCCAGCCGGCCCCGTGGCAGCTCCTGCAGTTGCTGCAGGACAGTTTCCTGGGGCTCAGACCCACTTTCCTTGCACAGCCGGCTGTAGGAGTGCTGGAACTCCTCCATGGCACGCTCCTAGAGACGGGCTTCACCATGAGCCAGCTGAAGCCGAGGGCAGGCTCCGGCTACCCGACTCCTCTCCCTAAGGGCAAGAGGGCAGGGCCTCTCCGGTGGGGGCCTACGGCGCCGAGCAGCTCAGGGTGGAGCACAAGGACTCCTCTAAGTCCTCAGCAGCCGAGCAACGAGGGACAAACCGAATAGGTTCTCCAGGAGGGAGGCCCCATGAGGGCGGGAGAGTGGGCAGGGGACCGCTCCAGCAGGGAACCGGGGAGGGGGGCGTCCGCCCGGAGGCGGGGATGAGGGTCCCTAGCAGACGGTCCCTCCAGCGGCGGGGCGGGACCCCAGGCCCCCAGCCCGCGCGCTTCGGACCCTCACTCTCCAGCCGCGGGTCCGCGCGGCCGCCGCGAAGCCTCAGTATCCAGGAAGAGCAAGGTGTGCCGGGAAGGGCGGGAGCGAACTGCAACTCCCAGGAGTCCTTGCGGGGGGAGGGCGTTGCTCGCCTCGGGCCAATAGGGACGAAGGGGCGGGCACGCGCTGCGGGCCCACGGGGGCGGGGCAGGGCGGAGGCGGGGCTGCGGAAGGCGCGCTCCGGGCTGATTGGCTGGAGGAGCGGGGGCGGGGCCTCGGAGGGCGCGCTCGGGGCGGACGGGCTGGGGGGCTCCCGGGGCTCTGGAGGGCGCGCGTCCGGGCGGCTGTCATGGAAGGAACTGGCGGCGGCTTCCGGAAAGTGAGAGGGCCGGCGGGGCGGGGAACCGGGCGGCCGGGCGGCGGGACCGGGCGGCGGGCGCCGCGGCCCGGCCCCACGTGGGACTCACGTTCCCAGAATCGCGCCCTCTCCCCGCCGCGGGTGGGGTCCTGCACCCGAGTCGCTGGAGGCCGAGCAGGCAGCCGGGTTTGCGGCAAGAGGGAGGGGTGTGCAGAAACCGGGCGGGGGCGGGGGGTGCGCTCGGACGGGAGCCCGGGCCCCACCACCAACCTAACGAACGGCCCGGGCGCCCGGGACCCCACAGGACTCGCTGTCAACCAGGCAGCGCGGAGTGGCTCCACCCGGCTCGCTGGTGGCCACACTGCCTGCAGATTCCCAAGCTTCCCCTTGGCCCGCTGCCTCTCACGGGGCCCTGTGCTTCGCGTCCCACCTAAGCAGGGCTGAAACTGGCCCTCCTGGCCTGTGGTCCATCGTGGGGGGGGCGGGGTTGTGGCTCCGCACGTGTCCTCCCAAGACACCAGTCAGGCACGCTTGCACGCCCTTGACGTAGATTAGCCCGGTAGGACATGGGTGCAAGTCCCATCCTCACTTACCAGTGGAGAAACTGAGGCCATCCCGCTTAGGAGCCTCACCGTTTGCTCTGCCCCAGTGAGTGCGGTTCTGGGTGGCTGGGAAGGTATGGGGGCCCCTAAGGGCTTCCACCCCCTGCAGGCTGTGAGTGGTTTGAGTCTCACTTTGCGGGTCTGCCAAGGTTGGGAGGCACTGAGCCCTTGATATCAGGCCCAGGCAGGCCCGCGGGCCTTGCTCCACCAGTCCCGGTAGGAATTACTGCCTTACAGAGAAGCGGGGATTCCCTGTGGCTTACTTTCTGCTTCGGCCTCCTCTTCTTTGTCACCCAGGAGGGTGGCTCGGCCCCGGCCCAGCAGCGGTTCATGACTGAAAAGGGAAAGCCACGGAGGCTCGGGTGACTTGGCAGAGTGGTCTTCACAAGAATCCCCCCGTTCTAATTGCTGGACGGAGGAGCACCAGCGACCTGGACAGCCCTGAGTCCTCACCCCGAGGGCTCTGGCCAGAGCTGGGGTTACGATCGTTACCCTTGAGCAGGCCTGCCCCAAGTGAGGGTGAGAGGGGCAGAGGGAAGCCGTGGCGGCTGCACGCAGCAAATGCGTCCCAGGTCCTGTCCTGCCCTCTGCAAGTGTGAGTTACTCATCTGTTTAGGGGGCCACCACCACGTGCAGCTGGTGCTGACTCCTTTGGTGTCGGCAGCCCGGGTGCAGGAGGCCTGCTCGGGTAGCTCTTCCCGGTCCCAGGAGCAGGTGGGGCGGCGGAGCCTTGTGGGCCTTTTCCAGCACCTTCTTGGTAAGCAGCAAGGAGGACAGCAGGTGGCGCCAAGCCCTCACGGTCGCCGCTGGGAGGGCAAGGCTGCGTCTGGAGTGACCCCGTGGCAAGTTCTTACCCTCCTGAGCCTGGGCCCCATGGCGTCCACTCCCTCCCCTGCCCCTCTGCTCTGCTCTTGGGCTCTGCCGAACTGCACTGGGTGAGGCAGCAAAACCTCCAGAGACTAAAGCCGGAGGCGTGGCCAGTCCCCGGCTCCCCTTCCCTGCGCGACACCCCATTTCTGGGCTCCTCCTGCCTCCCGGCTGGCTCTGCTGACTCCTCATTCACAGCCTCTTCTGGCTGGACCCTGCTCTCTGTAACCTCCCTTGGTCCACCCCCCAAATCCTCATCATCCTTGGACCTTCTGGAAGGCTCTTCTCAGCTCCAGCCACCTACCCAGCCGCTCTGCTTGGGTGCCTCATGCGTGTCCCTTACTTACTTACTTAGCATATTCCAAGCTGAGCTCCTGGCCCCCAAAATCTTTCCCCCACAGCCCCCAGCTCTGCAGAGTGGTGCCGTCCTTTGGGGGCTCAAGCCCCCCACCTTGAGGAGTCTCGGCTTGGACCCACCCTTGTCTTGTCAGGAGGCCCTGCGGACATGCTCAGGCTCTGCCTCCCCTCCTCCTGCATTCACCCTGACCGCCTGTGGGCGGAGCAGCCCAGCCTCTGCCCAGTTGTGGGCTTCCCAAGTGGCCATCCCAGGCCCTGCATGTGGCTGACTCCAGAGAGGGACCTCAGAGGGAGCTGACCTGGCACCAAGAGCAGGGTCTGGCACAAGCAAGGCAGTGTAGTCGGTGTGGGCACACCTGCCAAGGGGCCCACTGGAGGAGAGCGCCTCAGCCCCGGGGGGCAGGAGTGCAAGACCGCCCCGGAGCCCAGGAGGACCGGGTGGGCACCTGGGTTGCTCCCACCTGTCCACCACCTGTGTCTGACTTACGATCCTTCTGGAGGCATCGGGGGCTCCTCACTGCCCAGGCCCCCACCCTGGGAGGGCCTCTCCAGCATCCAGAACTCAGCGCCCAGGGGGTCTGTGGCAGGCCAGGGGCGGTGCCGGGCCACTGACCCCCTGCCCCTGCCCCCCAGGACCTGGTGAGCAAGCTGCTGCAGCTGCACTTCACAAACAGCAAGACCAAAGGTTCGTGGGCACCAGCTGGAGGGCAGGGCCAGAGCACTGCAGCTCTGGGGGGACCGAGGCCTCGGGGAGGGCAGGGAGCCACCTGTGTGAGGACTTGTCAGGTCGGAAGTAGTGAGGAGAGCAGTGGGGTGACCGGGGTGGTAGGGGAGGGCAGGGCACGGGTCCTGTAACCCACTCCCCTCCACCTTGCAGTCGGCGGGGACGCGCTGCGGCTCATGGCGGAGCTGCTGACCATCTTCGTTGTGGGTGAGCCCGAGGGCCCCCGCAGTGTCCTCTGCTGTCCCACCCGGCCAGCCCTGACGCTGTCCCCTTGTCTTCTCGGCGGGGGGACTCCCACACACCTCTTGCCTGTCTCCCCACCAGCCCGAAGCTCTGTGACCCCTGGTGCGGTCTTCTGAACCGCCAGCCGGCAGGGGTGGGGGAGGCAGCCCCAACCCCCCCAGCCCTCTCCCCCTCACCGACCTCCTGTGTGGTGGCAGAAGCGGCTGTCCGCAGTGTCCGGCAGGCCCAGGCAGAGGACCTGGCTCTCGTGGACGTGGACCAGCTGGAGAAGGTGCTGCCCCAGCTGGTAGGTGGGCCCAGGGGGGCCTCTTGTCCCACACCCTGCGTCCTGCCCTCCCAGGAGCAGGGCTGGTGCCCATGGGCTGAGTGCTCTTCTCCCCCACAGCTCCTGGACTTCTAGGGGCCTCCACCCCCACTGCGGCCCGCTGTCCAAGCCAAGGCCAAGCCCCACGCCCACGTTTCTGTGGCCTCTGGCTTCAGACAGGGAAGGAGCTGCTGATGCCTGAGACAGACTCTCCTCCAGCCCCAGAGACTGAGCTAGGTCCTGGGAAATGCCCCACTCCTCCTGGTCTCTGTCCTGCTGCTGACCGCCTGGACACAGCAGATGGGGGAGGCCGCTGAGGGGACCTGGGGGAGGGCAGGTGCCTTCCCCTTTACACGCAGCGTTGTGAGAGAAGCGCAGGGTCCTGGGAAAGCAGGTGCCAAGGAGCAGCGGGGGCCCGCCCGCCTGCCCGAGCAGGTGGCCTGTGTACGTTCTACAGATAAGCGAAGCTGCCCACAGGCTGACACCCCAACATCAAAGCTTCCGTGCAACCTTTTAACCATCTGATACCCCTCAGAAGATGCTTCCCTGAGCTGTAAGTTTATTCTCACAAGGCAACGTCAATAAACCAAAGCTGCCTCTCGGGCCCGCCTCCCTGTTGCCATTAATCACCCAAAGTCAAGTTGTTTCAAAGCCTCCTGGCCTGCCGGTCCACGCTGCTGGAAGGGAAGCACAGCTCGGGGGAGACCGCATGCGTGAGAGCCCTGCCAGGGGCCACAGCAGGGGCCACTGAAACCTGAGCCCTCACACGAGGCCGCTCTCTGGGAGCACAGAACGGTGCTCCTGCCACGGGCCCGGGAGTGTCGCTGTGGGCAGGGCCTGCTGGTGGAGACGAGCTGCACGGGACCTGTCAGGAGCTTGGGGTGGTGTTGGCTGCCCTTGGATATGCGGGGGCCTTGCGGCCTCCCCGCCCCGCCCTCCACCCTGCAGTACCCACCTCGCTTTAGCTCTGACACCTGCCCAGTGACTGCAATCAGGACACACAGAGCTGCAGAATGTCCCCTGGGGAGGGACACCAGCCGCCCCACCCACTGCGGGAATGGGGGGGGGGACCCTGAGGACCTCCAGGGGCAGCCTCGCCCACACCTGAGCAGGGCTGGGGGGCAGGACTGCCCTCCTGGATTTAGCCCTGCTGACTGCTTCCTGCACCCCCCGCCACGCTGGCCCCCCAGCTCTGCTCCCCGGCCTCTCCTCGGGGAGCCCGTGGCAGTGATCAGACATGGAGGGAAGGCTGAGGCTGGCCGGAACCCATGCGCGCAGCCACTGAGAAGTGCGCTCAGGTCGAGGAGTGCGGGGCCAGGCTGCCCTTGCCAGGCGTCCTCCCAGCCCCTGTCCTGGTGCCCTGGGCTAAGGCGGCCCTGCCTACACGCAGCCCCGCAGCTAATGCCTGGGGCCTTTCTCGCACGGGTCCTCACGGGAGCGGTAATTCGTGGGGTCAACTGGGTGAAATCAGCAGCTCCGGGAGGACACCTGTGCCTTTGTTCACAGGCACGTGGCACCCCACCCAGGCCCACCCAGGTCCAGACCCACTGCAGGACCAATGGGCCCAGGGGACAGAGGGGGCCCTTTTCTGGAGAAAGGACGACAGGAGGATCTTGAGAGAAGCTCACACCTTTATTCCCGTTCAGGGTGGGGAGGGGTCCTGCGGCCGGCACACAGGGCACATCCGGGCTGGTGGCGCTCACCTCTTGCCGGCTGCAATGTGAACGCCAGAATGACCTCGGGGTCCCTGGGTCGGCAGCCCCCTCCCTCTCCGCTGCGCCCTGCTACGGTACCTGGCAGCTTCAGCCACTTGGGCACCTTGCCCAGATCCCTCCTGACCGGCTGGGCCGTCCCGGGGCTGGGTTCAGGGAGCCCCACTGCCCCTGCCTCGGCCATTGGCTCCAATTCAAGGGGTGCAGGGTCAGGGGCTGACATCGGGGGTGGGGTTCCAGCAGGCCTGGACATGCACCTGTGGACAGAAGGCTGGGGTACAGGATGGCTGACGCGCTAGGGCAGGGGCTCTCCCCTCCCCCACTGCCCGCACTCACCTGGCCACCAGCACATCCGCCGCAGACGGGGAGACCGTGTGTTCCAGCAGCCGAGGCTCCAGGAAGAGGCCTGTGGGACACCGAGCCCACCCTCAGGCCACGGAGGGGGCCCCCCCGCCCATTATTGCTCTGCTGTGGGAGGGGACAGGGCCCAGGCAAGTGGCTGTCCTGGTAATAGGGTATCGGGCACAGATCTCCCTCCCAGACTGGAAGGAAGTCCCTACCCTGGGGCGTATGATGAGCCAGGACACTGGGCCCAGGGCCGGCCAGGCATGATGGGCAAAGAGAGGGGCCCCCACCCACCTGTCAGTTCCTCGGCTCCAAAGTGCACAAGGGCCGCAGGAAAGAGATTTGCCTGGAGGGAGAACAGGAGGCAGCTCAGGGCACCAGGCGGGCATCATGGATGGGCAAAGGCCATAGGAGAGGGACAGGTGGGCTGCACCCCACTTTTGTGGTGGCCTCTTGTGGGGCACTCACCGGGACCAGGGCTCCGCTGAGGAGGCTCACAGCCCCAGCCAGGTCTCTCCTGCAAGCGGAGTCCACTGCCCAGCACCCCCATGAGCTGCCCCCAGCCCAGCAATACCAGTCTGCCCTCTGGCACCAACCCCAGTGCAAGCCAGGCTGGCTAGGAGACCACCCCAAGCACCAAATGAAGAGGAAGTTCCTGTAATGTGTGCAAGCTGGGGGAACCAGGCCTGGAAGCCCCCACCCTCAGCAGAGACTTCAAGAGACCGACAGGTCAGAGAAGATAAAGGTGGACAGAGAGACTGCATGGAGGGGACAGGGAGGTACGGAGAGAAAAACGGGCAGCACAGATCGGAGAACAGAGAGCGCAGGGGTCTGCGGCCACGGCCAGATGGGCCACCTTCAGGCTCAGGGGAAGCGCCCAGACCTGCGGAGAGCGGGGACCCTCGGCTGGCCCAGGCCCAGGTACGGGGAGTAGGGGGGCTCCTGGAGCCAAGGGGCTTTGAGCGTCCTGGGCAGGGAGGTGCTACCCAGGTCAGCTACCTCTGAGAGTTCGCTACCCCAGACCCCCAAAGCCCACACTCGAGTTCCCTGACTGGGGGAAGAGTGGGGGCCAGGCAGTGAGAAGCCCCGCCCACAGGGAGGGCGCTGTTGGGGGGGCGGGCCCCCACACCCCAGCCCAGGTGGGCTGGGAACTGCCTCTCCTGTCTCCTTCCCTGGGGGTAGTGGTGCAGGGTTCCTGCTCAGGTGTGTGTGAAGGATGACACGCAGGGAGCTGAACTCAAGGCTGCAGGCGGGGACCCCAGGGTCTACCACTCTGCACCTGAGGCCTAGGGCTGCAAGCCCTAAAGCTGGCCAGAGGGTCCTTGTCCTCCGCCCTCAGCGGAAGGGGCAGCCACCAGGTGAGCCCTTGCCCTCCGCTCTCTTGGAGGAAGCTTCAAAGGCCAAGCCTAGGTTCCCGAAGAACAAAGCTGAGGACAGGCCAGATCTGAAAACCCCACACCCCATCCCGACACTGGGATCAAAGCCTCAATTCAGAGGCACTGCCTGCACCAGGGCCCTGGAGGCACCAGGAGCCAGGGAGCAGGAAGGGGGCACAGAGACCACAGTGTCCAACCCTCCCCAGGAGCCTCAGCTTGGCTGACCCTCTGGGCACCGTGGCCACTTCCAGTGAGCACGAGAATGTTCCACCTGGCACGGCAGCCTGGGGGCTGCAGGGCTTCAAGCCTCGAAGGACCCCTCTCACCAGCCAGGAGTCCTCCGGGGCCCTTGGGGCATCTCATGACCCCAGCCTCCCACCAAACTACCCCACTCGCTTGCTGGCATCTTTGGGATTCCAACCGAACAAGGGGTGAGCAGACAGCACAGCAGGCCGCCATGACCGCCAAGAAGGAGACCCTGCCCCTCTGCTCAGGCAGAGAAGGTCTACGCAGATCATGGCCATCTTCAGGACCGGCTAAAGCTGACCCCTGGACCCTACGTGAGGCCGAGGGCAGAGGGGTCCCCGGGGCTCAGGACAGCACCAGCACTGAAGGAAGCAGATCTGATGGGCACCGGGGGCGCCTGCGCCCGCCAACGGCACCCCCACCTCTTCCCACACCCTTGTCCACAGCCCCACCTTCCCCCGCACCCCTCTCCTGGCCCAGTGGCTAAAAGGGGCAGCTGGGCTGCCGTCCCTCACACCTACCGCAAGCTGTCACTCTCTGGAGCTCGGGACTGGCCCCCCGGCAGCCTCCCGGGCAGCCAGCAGCCAGAGCACAGCCCTGCCAGGGACATGAAAGCCGGCGGCTTCCGCGCCCACGCCTGCTCACCCACACAAGGGAGGAAGACTTCCTTCCCCGAGCCCTGCCAGCTCTCTGATCGCGGGCGGGCGGGGACGCCACCCCGCGCAGAGGCCCCCGCAGCTCCAGGCAGAGCTGATGGATGAAAGGAGACAGCTGCTGGTAACAGGGGGCAGAGTGTCACCAGGAATCAGGCTGCTCAAGCAGGAGGACAGGCAGCACCCCAGGGCCCCCAACTGGGGTGGGAGGGGCGGCGGGACTGGGCGCTGGTCCCCCTCCATCCCAAAGCATCTCCTAAATTCAATGTTTATCAACAGGCTGGCCAGCGAGGCAGGGCGGGATGGAGGAAGAGGCCTAGCGCCTCTGGGGCTCCTGGGGGCTGAGAAGGGGGAGCTAGTGGGGGGGACGCAGCACCCTGCGCCCGCCCACCCTGGCTCCTTTCCTTGGTAAGCTTCCAGCCTCTGTGGGATCTTGCCCCATGTCCCCCACAATGGTGGCAGCCCCAGGCAGGAGGCAAACCCCCTTGCCCCAGCTCAGACCTCTGCAGGGCCTGCCGGCCACTTTACAAGGCCCGGCCTCTGGTACTAATTAAAATATCTGAGAAGACTTTGAAGAGGAAGCCATTAGGCCAGAGGGCTGGGGAGGCCCCAGGCTACCCTCCCAGGGCCAAAGAGACAGGACATCCCTCCTGTGGCTCTGGAAGGCAGCCCTGGGCCGGGCAGGGCACCACACCAAATCCACGCTCCTCACCTCACCTTCAGGAGCTCTGGGGGCCATAGGGAGGGTCGGGCGGAAGCAGACACCAGCTAGTGGGGAGGGCACAGCGCCCATTCCTGGCAGAGGCCCCGGGGTCCAGGGGAAAAGGCAGCGGCCCCTGCGGCCTGGGGTCGAGCTAGCCTGCCAGCCACCACCCCAGGGCCCTGCAGGCAGCCAGCCACCTGCAGGTGAGGCCTCGGACCCCTGACCCTCTGGGGGAGCCCCCTCTCACACAGACCCCAGGGCAGGGAGCTCCACGGCCCGCAGGCCGTCCCGGCTCAGGAAGGCTGGCAGCCCGCCGGGCAGGCCCCTCCCCACCGGGGCAGGAAGCGGAGGAGGCTGGAAAGCCCCAGCACCAGCTTCAGAGGTGCTCTGCCCCCCGCCCAGTCCACCCGTCTACAAGGCGTCATTATCCTCCCGACCGAGGCTCACCCTCCAGAGCCAGGCCCGCTGCACCTGCATCCCCGGCCCCCTGCACCCCGCCCGAGTGCTGGTACCTGAAAGAGGGTCAGCGTGGGGTCATCCAGGACACTTTTTGGAGGAGTGATGACTGCAAAGAAATAGCTGTCTGGGCCGGGAAGTACCCTTCCCCCACCCCTCGTCCACGCTCCCCAGGGAAGAGAGGCCTGATTGGGGGGGAGGCCCAGGGCCCACGGCCTCAGCTGGGGTGTTTCCAAGGGGCCCCCTCAGCTCACAGCCCTCTGCCCACCTCTCTGCTGCTACAAAAACCCTGGCCAGGGGGCCTAGGGGCTCGGTGGCCTGGGGCGGACCTACCTCCAGGGAGCCCGTGCCCCACACAGTGCCCTGCACAGCCCAGTGGCCTGACTCCTCCCTACCCAGATGCCCTTGGAGGGGGAAGCTCCTAGAAGCCTGGGAGAGGGGGGGCAGGCTGGAGGCAGAGGGTGCAGGGGTGCTGAGGTGGGGCAAAAGCCAACCTCCCTTCCCAATTCCCACGGTCCTTGGACTTGGCCTCAGACACCAGTGGGGTTCACATGTTTGGGACAGCCCACCACGATATTGCTTCTAGGGGGAAAGCTGCTCCAAGCCCCAACTGAGAGGGATCGGGGGTCACTGACGCCCAGATGCTGGAACTCACACAGGTGGAAGGGCAGCTCAGGGTTCCCCAGGTGGCTCCTCACAAAGTCCTGCAGATCCCCCACTAGAGAACGGAGCACAGGATGAGCACAAAGCTCCGTGGATGGGCACAGGCCCCAGCTGAGACCCACTCCAGGGCTGGCCCCATTCTAGGATGGAACAAGCCAGGTCCCCCTCTGCACAGACCCCCACTACCCTGCAGGCCCGGGCTGCCCCAGGCAGCTTCCCGCCTCCGCCTCAGGTACTGCACGACACCGTTCCCACCCTCAAGCCAAACTGAGGCTCCAGGGATAGAAATCCAAGTTTGTTCCTTCCACAGTACTCCCAGATGCCCGGCCTGCCTAGGCCCCCACCCCGCTGCAGGAGTGTCCCTCCCTTTGCCTCTTAGCCTGCCCGCTCTCCAATCCTGAGCTCTGCCCTAGGGAGGCCCTCGAGGTCTTGGGCATAGGTCACCGAGGACATCCAGGACTGGCGACACTGCCGCATTCCTTCCAGGCTGCAGCCCCAAGCCAGAGGGCCCTGGTGTTGGGGGTGGTTGGGGGGGTGCTGGGCCCACCCATCCTCTGGGTACTCCTCTGTCTCACCTGTGCCCTGAACAGGTGGGCACATGGGGGCACTCAGCACCTGGGCACCCCAGCCCTGTGCCCACCCCCGACATGCTCTGCAAGCTCACAGTCTGCCCCACAGAGATGGCAACAACCCAGAAACACCCATGACCCCCAGAGGCCAGGTAGCCGCAGTCCCATGGCCTGGAAGAAAGAAACCAGGAGGCGCTTGGAGGGGCTCAGAGGGACTCCCCCCTCTCCCGCCCCGGACGCCCAGGCGGGGCCACTTACCTGTCTCGTTAGGGCGGAAGAAGCCCTGCAGGATGTAGCGGTCAGGGAACAGGACCCTCAGGACCACCTGGGCCACAAGGAGCCAAGGTGTCAGCAGGAATGGCCAAAAGTGGTCCCGCTGCACCCCGAGGCCCACGATGGCCAGGTCCCCCGACCCAGGTTAGAAGACACCAGGGCTGGGGCAGGCAGAAGGGCCAGCTACCACCCCACCCTGGCCATCCCTGGCCTGCTCCCTGGCCTGCCAGACACGAGGGGCTGGTCATAAACCATAGCCGTGCAGGCCTTGTGGGAAGCGCGGGTGACCCCAGCCAGGGGCGCGGGGGTGAGGCACGTGCTCGCTGCAGGTCCCCCCCAGCCCTTCTCCATACCTTAGGGTAGCGCTCCAGCTTCTCCCTCATCTGAGCCTCCCTGAAAGCCCTGGTCACTAAGGGCGCTTCTTCCAGTCGCTTCCTGCAGGGGGAGCGGGTGGGGGCGTGAAGGTCTGGGGTCTCCATGGCCAACCCAAGTGGAAGGTCTCCACACCAGGCTCCGTGGGCTATTCCCCACATAGGGCCAGATGGGATGGGGGCCCTGACCCTCAGACATGCTTCTGAGGATGCAGGGGCAGGGAGACGCTGACGGGGCCGCCAACGGGCACACCCACCGCTCACTCTTGAGCTGGGCCAAGCGTCTCCTCACGTCATCCACGGTCACTTCGAAGAACTCGTCCGGCAGCTCCGCAGGCCAGGCCTGGAGCAGCTCCTCCAGGTCGGGGTGGCACACCACAGGGTCCCGATCCACCGGCTGGTGGGCAGAGGGCTCAGCTGATATAGGGCCCCCAGAGCCCACACTCCTGACTGTGGGGCTGGCCTGCCCGGGCCTCACAGCTGGAGAGACCACGCAGACCCCTGAGCCAAGCCCATACCCTCACTGGCCACTCCGGTCAGCCTGTGGCCAGGGCCAGAGGGCCAGGACTGGAGACCCTCCTTCCATGCCTCCTGCTCAGCCACACGGACACAGAGACCCTCACTCACCGGCAGGGCATGGGGCCCTGGAGGCTCAACACAGCCAGGTCAGGCTGGCCAGGCACCCTCCTGCTGGGGGGCTTGGGGAGTGGGCTGAGGGCCAGCCTGGCAGGGCCAGCCTTTCCCAGCAGCTCCTGTGCTCACCTCCTGTCTCCATGGGAACCTCCCTGTTGTCATGGTCCCCCAAATAGCAAACTCGGGGAGCATCACCCTGGTTGAGGCCACATCAGGGGCTCCCCAAGAGGGCAGGGGAAGCGACAGCCCCCAAATTAGAGGTTTGGCAGAAACCTGCCAGCCACTGGCCCCACGGCCTGGCTGCCCCCAGCCCACCCTCTGACCACCCTGGAGACACAGAAAGGGACAGCATCACTTCTAATTGGCGGCGAGGAGGGAGGAGGTAGGAAATCGTGAGGCAGGGTTTGCTTGGCCCAAAGCGCCGCCAGGGGGGTAACTGCCATTATGAGTCACGTGGCCACGGCGGTGGCACACCTCTCGGCACCAAGGCTGCCATGGGGGGGGGGGCCAGGCCTGACCGGGGCATGCAGGTCCCGGCCCAGGAGGCCACCCTCTGCCCTCCGCCTCCCACCGCCTCTCTGTACCAGGCCGTGGGCCCGGCAGGCTCTGGGAGCATCCTTCCCCAGCGGACCCTCCCTACAGCTGTCCCCACAGCCCGTCCTGCTCTGCAGGCCAGGCTCACCGCCCCAGGGACCGACACACCTGCCAGGGTCTCTAAGGCTAACTCCCCAGCCACGTCCGAGGCCTTGATCATCCACTCTGGCAGGCCTTAGGTCCCTGTGGTCCGGCGAGTGCACAGCAGGGCCAGGCCTCGCGAAGCACCTCCCCGCCCAGTGACAGGAGGTGGGCTCTCATCAGGAAGCCCCTCTGACCTGGAGGCACGGGGGCAGAGCAGCTGCCAAGGGCTGGCTGAGGTTCTGGCAGCAGGGCCTGTAGGTGGCTGGCCGAGGCCCGTGGGGGCTGCCCCTCTGAAGCCACAAGGATCCCGCGCCACCGCGGGCAGTCTACACCAGAGCTTTTTATAACAAGATGCCAGGCGCCAGGCTGCCCCCCACAGCCATGGCGCCTGCATTCCAGAAGGGCCAAGAGCTGGCCTGGGCGCCCGGGGCGGGGTGTTGGGGGGAGCGAGGGCAGGACGTGGATGCGCCTGAGCCGGGCACCGCCGTGTTCATTCAAGCACGAAGCCTGCAGGCTAACGCGCGGGCCTAAGGCCACCCTGTCACGGTCTCTCCCTTGGAGGGCCCAGCCATGTGGTGGCGTGCGGTCTGTGGCTGAGCGCTCAGACCTGACCGGCGAGGCCAGTCCCAGGGAGCCCTGCCCACTGGGTTCTCGAGGTCCCCCTGGGCACTTCCAGGACCTGACCTGGGGTGTGACTGTGGGCTGCTGGCAGTGCTGATGACCCCAAGGCCCACGGCCCGCTCCCCAGGCCATTTCCAGAATGGGGGACACCAGCCACTGGCTCCGCACTGCTCAAGGGCCACGGACTCTCTCGGTCAGAAAACAAAATGGACAAAATCCTTCTGGGTTTTGGATCTATTTTTGATTCCTTCTCTCCTCCCCCATCTCTCTCTGCTCCAGAAACCTGTATGTCACACGGAGGCCAGGAGCCGGGCCCCACACAGGAACCAGAGCGCTGGGGCAGAGCCACCAGCAGAGCCTGGGGCCAGACCTCCTGATGTCCTGGCCCAGGCAGGCCCTGTCCCGCAGGAACAGACCGAAGTCCGCGACCGGGCTGTTAGGAATTACCACCCTACTGCCCAGTGATGGAGGGGGGAGCCAGGCAGCTTTAACACCTCCGCGTGGCCTTCCACGGCAGAGGAGAGGCGCTGGGGTCGGAGGGAGCTGGGGAGGTTAGAGCTCAGCAGCTGCCAGGCGGAGCCCGGGTGCTCACGCCCCACGCCGCCAGCACCCTGCCCTCCTCTGCCGTTCCTTCTCCCGCCGTTCCTGGTCCCGGCAGTCACTACGCACGGCTCCCGTCCTAGGCGCGTTTAGGGAGAGGTTTCTGGATGGACAGCACAGCTCTAGGAGGAGACGTCCTCAGGGAAAGAGCACGCATGCGGCGGCAACCATAAGGGACACCTATGGCGAACGGAGGACAGGTGGACAGAGAGCGAGCAGGACAGGTCAACGGCCGTATCTGCAAAGTGGGTAACACTGGCCAGGAGTCCGGGGGGCACAGGGAGGGGCAGGAACACCCTCTGCGGCTGACGACAGCCCAAGGCTGGACAGATGCTGGACAGACACGCAGCCCATTCAGAGGGAGGGACGCAGGGACCGACCACCGGCTGCAGGCGGCCGGCAGACGGTGACCTGCTTCGCCAGGATGGGGCGCAGGAGGGAAGCTGCGGAGGAGGCGTGGGGCCTTGCCTGCCCCTGGCCCCACACCAGGCTCGGTGCGGCCGAAGGCAAAGCCCGGCACCGGCGCGGAGGGCCCGGGAGGGCCGGGCAGGCTGGGCGCTGGCCGACACCCTGCAGCAGCGGCCTCGTGAGTGGCCGAGCATCCACCGGGCACCTGGGTCCCCTCCTGTCGGAAGTGGCCTCACCGCTGCTGAGGGTTCATTTTCTTGACAGTAATTTTCCGGGACGTGATGACACACAGAGAAAAAAATGTAAAACCGACTTGGGGGTGACCTCAAGCCCAGATTTTCCAGCTTTCCTGTGAGGGCTCTAGTTTGTCTCCCCCACTCCCAGCCCAGACTGTGCTCTGACAATGGTCTTTGGTCAGAGAGAATGTGAAGCGTTTCCCCTTGAGGCTTGGAGCTTAAACGAATCAGGACGTGAGGGCCGCAGGCCAAACCTCCCGAGTTACTCACGGAGCCGGCGCCCTCTGCCCGCCGCAGGGCTGAGCCAGAGGGCGAGGCTGGGCCGGGTCCGGCAACCACCCAGAGCAGTGAGCAGAGGAGACGAGGGAACGGGGGGCGGGGGGACCCACACGCCCATGGCACGACCAGACCACTACCACCGTGGACGAGACATGTGAGCCCCCCAAAGTCCGGAAGTAAGCAAGTGCAAGCTATGGCATGGGGTCTCCTCAGTCAAGAGGCCAGCAGCTGCGCCCGAGGAGCCCAGCAAGCCACAGAGGGAAGGACGCCACGAGGTGGGAACAGTCCCGGAGAGCCCTCGGGTCCAATCAAGGCGGCGGCCTGAAGACAAGCCCCCCAGGCCCCGCTGACACAAGGCCGCCCGGACCCGCCTGGCCCTACCTGGGCGTCCGGGGCTCCCTGTGTGCTCATTCCCCACTACGGTGTGCAGGCTGGGCTCCTCTCCCCCAAATCCAGCCACGACAGAGACGGCTGGAGGGCACCTGCTGCATGACTTGGCCAGCACTTTCCAAGCCACGACCTACCCGCTACCCAGCCTCAGCGGCATTCCGATTAAGGCCACGGCCGGGCCCCCGGGTGGCTGCTGGAGCCTGGGGACGGCCATAAACACAGACGGCATATAACTAGGACAAGTTCAAACCATACCCTGGGCCCACACATGGGGGGACAGCGGGGCGTGCTCACGGGAGGACGTTATGAGAGGTGCTGGAGGGCAGCGAGGAGCACTGCTCGAGGTCTGCTCTGACCCCCAGGCCCTGGGCGGGCTCCTCCCAGCCTCACGTGCTCTAAACCTGCCCACAAACCAGGGAGCAGGGACGGCCAGAGGCCAGGCTGACACCTGCCTTGAGGTGCAGGCAGAGGCACCAAGGGGTCCCAGGTCCTCTAAGGGGGCAGACCAAGCCCCACAGGGTGAGGGGCAGGCAGGGGAGGCTGCCGTCAGCCGCCCGCCCTGCCCAGGGCATTGGAGCCTTTGATCAGAGACCCCCATACCGGCTGGGGGGCGGGGGGTGGGGAACGCCTGCTGGGATTGTGGCCCAGCCGTGCACAGGGCTGCAGGGCGGCCTCCCGGGCCGGCGGAAGGACTTCAAAGGACAGGCCAGGGGCCGCCGGGCAGCCCCAGCCCCTGCCCGCACCCGGCTCTGATGGCCAGTAAAACTACCTTCTAATAATTAATGTTCTGACATCAAAGGCAAGAGCCGCCCGGGTCTGTAAACCATCCCAGTTCTCAGCCGAGGACCTGCCTATATTTTATCCTGTCTCTTCTGACTCTTTATTTAAATCCAAAACCACACACAGGCAAAACATTAATGGAAAACTTGGAAACTCCTTTTGATTACCAAAGTGTACCTTTGAAGTTCCCCCAAAAGTTCCGTTTTGTTCCCTTCTTCCCTCCCCCCCAGGGCTGAAAAGGGACACAAAGCAGACACCATGTGGCTGGCCAGCCCTCCGGGTGTGGGGCTGTTAGTGACAGGAGGCACGAGGCAGGCGGGCAGGCAGGCGGGGGACGCTCCACAATCAGGCAGCTGCTGGGGCGCCCAGATCAAAGGCACATGCTGCTGGCGGCCAGGCGGCCCCCCCCCAGGGACCCCTCCTGCCTGGGGGCCCCAGGTTCAGAGCCCAGGGAGGCACTGGGACCCTATGCCCAGACAGCAACCACCTCCAGGAGAGCGGAACCAGACCCCCGCCCCCCCGCAGATGTCCACAGGGCCATCTGCAGCTTCCCAACAGATCCAGAGAGCCAGGGCCTGCCCAGGCCAGCAGGAGCCAACGGCCCACAGGCCGCATGCCCCGAGTCCTCTGTGCCTTCAGTGTGGGAGAAGGGACAGCCAGCCCTGGCCCCAGGGTCCAGCCCCCAAACGCAGGCATCCCCAGGAAGAGCAGGCCTGGACAGAGTCAGACCCCAACCACACAAGTCTGCTTTTGGCCACGGATTCCAGGCCCAGGTCACAAAGGCCATGAGAGTGGGGACTGCAGATGAGTTTCTGACACAGCCCACACATCAATGTGGGGGCCAGGGCACCACCACCACTGTCTCCCCAGGACGGACGGTCACGGGACTCGGGACTGGCTCATGCCCCCCGACCCCTGCCCCATCTACTCAGCAAGGACACACGGAGGGTGGCTCAGCAACGGAGCAGGATCAAGTCCCAGCCGTGTGCCCCTCTGGAAGGACGCCGGCTCTGTTCTACAGCCGGGTCTTCCCTGCCCACCGCCCCCACAGGCACCGGTGCCCCTGACCCCCCAGCCTCCCCAGATGTGCGACCTGGAAGCAGGAAGGACCCAGAAGAGAGAGGATGCAAGTGGGTGTGTCTCAGCACCAAGAACGGGTCGTTTTACTCGCGAACCACGGATGCTCAACTAAAACGTTAACTCCGACTCACAAGGAAGCTGTTAATAATATGTCACCCAAACAGGATCGCTCCCTGGAATGCAAGGGTGGCACGATGGGGGGGAATCTACCCAAAACCTCACCAGATGAAGGAACTGAAAGAAAGGAGGCCTGCCCTGCACGCCCACTAGCCAGCGGCAGGAGACCGCCAACCGGATGCATGGACCTCGCCTCAGAAATACAGACGGCACGGGCCAGGTGATGCCAAAGCTGCCTTCACGTCAAAAGCCGGTCAACAGGCTGGCCCAGGCACAAGGGTGGAGGGTGACGGCTCCGAAGCACTGCCTGGGACGGGTACTCAGAGCCCGCACAGATGCTCAGGGCCACCAGGCAGGTGGACTCTCCTGGCCGTGACCGTGTTCGCAGGGACACGCGAGTCAATCAGAATCTATCACACTGCACATCTAAAATCGTGCCTCGATGAAATTAAGAGAAAACAATCAGTCCCCAGAGATGACCACACACCCATCCACCCTGCCGCACCCCCAGGCTAACTGAGGTCAGGAGGAAAGACCCCCAGCACCCAGCCCGTTTCTTACCGGCTCTGGCCGGGGCTCCTGGCCAGGCCTCGACTTCTTCGGCTTGGAGGGGCCTCCAGGGCTGGAGAAGGACTTAGGCAATTTGGCTGAGGGCAACATCAGAGACCTGGCTGACCCGGAGGGGCCCCCCAGTCGCTGCCCCCCACCTGAGAAAGGGACAAAGGGAGCGGGGGCAGGCTCCCTGGAGATCTGCTTGGCTTGAGCATCCACACAGCCGGCCCCCGAGATGCCTGCTTCATCCTGATGGCTCACGTCCCCCTGGCTGAGCCCCGCTGAATCCAGAGGAAGCAGAGGGCTGCCGGCGGCCTGGTCGGCGGACAGGGAAGGAGTCGGGCTTCCTGGGGCTCTGCTCCGGGCGACCCCAGCAGAGCTGCATCGCTTCATGGCAAACCTGAGGGTGCAGACTCAGAGAGTGAGGGAAACCCCACACAGAGCCCTCTCCCTGCTGGGTCTGACTCTCCTCTGGCAACGACCAAGCCAACCTCAGCCCCCCGAAGGCGCTGTCAGCCTCCACCCCACCAGCCGGCCACTGTGGCACAGGGCCCTGGGCAGGAGCGGCCGTCAGGCAAGGGCCCCAGATCGAGGGGAGAAGGCCGTGGTGGGGGTGGGGGCACGTTTTCCGTCACTTTTCCCTCTTTCCCTTCAGACCCCGTTTTCCCATTCAATATAACTCCGAGGCTCCCCCACCTGATGATGGCGCTGCCTCCCGTGAGGCCTAGGGACCGGAGCGTCGTGGCCTGCAAGGAGGCTCTGCCCGTCACCTGTGAGGAGAGAACCGGACACATGGCTGACCCCTCGTGGACAGCGCTTCCCACCCGGCCGCCCCGGACAAGAACACCTCGCGCTGGCTCCCTCGGCCTGAGCACGGTCATGTCCAGCCCCCGTGGGACACCAGCTCCCGCACCCCAACCTGCACCCAAGTGTCTGTTGGCTGGCCTGGTCTGCAGCCGCCTCCCCACCCCACCCCACCCCAACTGCGGCCTGGGCGGGCACGGCTCAGGCCTGAGTTAGCCACATCTGGCCGGCTGACCACCTCTGTAGGCTGACCCGACCACGACGGCCTCGATCCAAGCCCAGGTGCCCGAGGCCCAGCGTCTATCTCCTCTGGGGGAAGATGTGTCCCACCAGGTGCCCCCCACCGACAGCCCTGGGACCCCTGCCCCGCACAGCCCCGTGTCAGGGAACCTCGAGCGGGGATAAATAGGTGGGCAGGTCCCGTCCACACCAGGGCCCCTTGGGGACAGTGGCCACCCAGGGCCAGGGAAGGGCATTTGGCCAGGGTCAAAACAAAAAGTCCCTGTGAGCCAGGGGACCCAGCGCCAGGAGGGTCCCCCATCACGGGCGGGCGGGTGGGGACAGGCTACGCCCGCACCGTGCTGCACTCGGTTTTGAAAAAGATCAAAACATGGAGCAAAGCAAATATTTATTAAAATGAAACCACTTTTGTGACTCTCAGGCTTTGAGAGACGCTGGGAAAACAAACAGGGCGTCGAGGAGGTTTGGGGAGCAGCCCGGGCGGCCCGTGGTTAGCGCCAACGGAGCCGGCACTCTGCTTTTTTCCATGAAACACATCACGCTTTCAGAGGCTGTCTCCCCGGCCACTGCTTTGAAGGCGGGTCTGAGAGAGTGAATTTTCCAGATTGGAAAGCGGGGCTGGGCCCGTGTGGTGACTGGGGGCCAGGCGGGTGGGGCCGGGCTGCTCACCTACCTCATCCCTCATGTACACACAGACCGGGCTCGCCTCACACGGCTGCTCCAGACACTCCCTGCGGGGGGAGCAAAGGAACCCTCACAGCCAGCCGCGGGGGCCCTCACAGAGCACCCCCAGCACGGCCCCGCAGGACAGTACACCGGGCCCAGCCGCTGCAGGGTCACCAGAAGGAGGCGCTCGGCCACTGGCAGGGAGCCACTTGCCCAAAGGGGGAGCTCACGGTCGGCCGTGGGGGAGGTCACGGTCGGCTGTGGGGGGCTCACAGTCAGTTGTCGGGGGGAGGTCACGGTCGGCCGTGGGGGGCTCACAGTCAGCCGTGGGGGAGGTCACGGTCGGCCGTGGGGGGCTCACGGTCGGCTGTGGGGCCAACAATGAGAAGGAGGCCTGGAGCCCTGTGATCTGGGCTTCTATCTGAAGCCGTCCCCCACGGGGCACTGCTGATCCCTGAAGTGCCAGGAGCAGCTGGGGCAGGCATCCGTTCGTGGGCAGAGCCCGCATGCCGGCCTGTCAGCCTGCAGCCCGCACCCAGGGTAAGAGGGGCCGCGATGCAGGAGGGCCACGGCGGTGATGCCCCTTCGGCAGCAGGCCCTCACACCCACGTGGTCGAGCAGCACTGGGCAGAGGGCTCCCACAGCCGCTGAAATCGGCACCCCCACAAAGTGCCAGGAGAGCCCGCCCCAGCCACTGTCACACACACAGGCTGGGCACCAGGGCAACGCGGGGGCAGACGGGCCAGAAACACCACGGATGCTCCACACAGACATGTCTTCATCGTCCAGGAGATACCAAACAGACCAGACAACACTGCCACCCCTCAACACTGCCACCCAGGTCACCAAGGGCCATAGCACCTTCCCTCTTCTCCTCGAGGCCATGCTCCCTGGGAAGATGGCGGCGGGCATCCTCCCCTCGTAAGCAGGGCCCCGAGACAGGAGGGAAGAGCCCCCCAAAGGCGCAGCTGGACAGGCAGGCATGCAGGCGCACACATGCTTGCTCCCACACACGCCCGCGCAACCCCTGACCCCAACTCCTGCTCTGTGGCCCTGTGCTGACCGTGGAGGTTACAGGGTGCAGGCCGACAGAGGCCTGGCTTTGGAGCCCTGAAGCTGCTGGTGCCAAAGTGAGGGGACGTTCACTTCCGTGTTTCCCAACACGTCGCTGTAACACCAGCCCCTGTGAATGCCCGTTCAAGACCACACCTGGAGTGCCCCATCCGGTCCCCCTCCTCCACACAGGGCGAATCCGAGGGGCAGGGCCCACCAGAGCGGGAGGCCTGGAGTGACGGCAGGCCCCGCGGCACTGCCCCGCCAGGGCTCGGAGCTTAACACCCAGACGTGCCAGGGAGCAGAAGACTCAGCAGCTAAGCTGGTGACCAGAAGCAGCAGGGTCTGCAGCTGCACACGGACACTCTGGACGCACCCCGTCCTCAAAACCCGGGATCCAGTCCTCTGGCTCGACTCGGCGTGGTGTTTTCCCCTCTCTTTCCTGTTTGCTTTCAGGTTTTGCTTTTGGGTGCTGCCCAGAGCAGAGACCCACAATCCAGAGCTAGCTACTGGGACCCATGGAGGAGGGGCGGCCCTGCTCCTGCCCAAGCCTGGCCAGCCCTGTTGCCTCCCAACACCCCCACAGGAAGCTGGGGGGCCCCTCGGCTAACAGCCCCCCATGGAGCTCACCCCGTGCTCTCCTCACACGCATGCCTACAATGAAGCTGCTCCCCAGACAAGGCTGCCAGCCTCGACCAGAGCAACACAGGGGGCTGGCCATGAAAGGTGTGAGCTCGCGGGCACAGCAGGGCCAGGGAGCCCCCACCAAGACCCCCTGAGCCCAGGCCTCAGGAAAATGGAGGACCCCCAAAAGGCCCACACACTCTTCTCACTGAAAGTCAGACAGAGGAAAAATGAAGGAACTTCAGTTGAGGGAGATGTGTCCAGCAAACAAGGTCCTGGGGCAGAGGGGAAGAGAGGGGAGTCCTGGCACCATCTGGACTCAGAAAGCTGGCTAACCACACGCTGGCCATGCCGACGCCCACCACGCTCGAGGGAGTCCTCTCTGAGCTCTCAGGACCTCTGGCCAGGCATGCTTTCTCCAAGTCCTTCCCCGGGCACCTGATGCCATGGTGAGGACCACAAATCAGAAAATGACAGGAGCGGGGCAGTGCCCGGGGAAGGCCTGCCTGCCTCTCTGCCCTCCAGGCCCCTGCACATCAAACGCCAGCCAGGCTTTGATGTGCAGCTCCTCCGGAGGGATCGGATTCCCTGTGTGGGGATCTGAGGGAAGGCCTGTAAACAAGCCAGGGGAGGGGCGGCCGCAACGGCTTCCGGACCTTCCCGGCCAGTGAGCAGAGCTCTCCCTCCAAGAACAGCGCACTGGGGACCGGGATGGTCCTGAGCTTCGGCCCGCTGCTCCCTGCAACAGAGACCTCAGCAAAGCCCCAAGGCTCTTGGAGGGAGCTGGGCCAAGGGCCTCCTGAGGACGACCCTATGCCCCGACCTGCTCCCACGCCCCACGCCCAGGCAGAGCCACAGGCATCACTCAAGGCCAGGCCTGGTGTGGAGCCTCCGTGGGCGCCTGCCCGCCCCACAGCAGACGTCACCCAGCTTGGCAGGAGGATGCTTGCTCCACCTGAGGCCAGCAAACGTGCTCCTCTGGTTGGGCCAGGGGCCAGTGGGCACGCCGGGCAGGGCAGAGGTTCTGTTGCTGTTGGCTTCACAGATGTTCTGCACTCACCACAAACGTGCTAGCCCCACAGGCATGAGACGTCCGTCCACCTGGGGCCAGCTCCCGGCAGGGCACTGGGCTGGGGGGGGGGGGCAAGCCAGGTTTCTGGAGACCTTTCTATTTACCTCACCTATCTGGGCCTGACCAAGATGGGCCGGTCCAAACACAGGTGTTGCCAACACAAGCCTGCCACCGCGTTCCCCAGGCCAGAACAAAATGGACAGAAACCAACCCAAACCAACAGAGCTGGGACTTCAGGCTCAGCTGCCACCGGGAGGCCCACCTCAGGCAAGGCCACACCCCAAGGGGCCAGGCCACACGTACCCCAACACAGAAAGGAGATTAGGACCGGAAGGAGCCACAGGGTCCCCTCCTCCAGGGCAGACTGAGCAGGGGCGGCTTCAAGAGCGAAGTTTCCTTTCCTTCCCAAGGAAAGATGGGGGACGGTGGCCAAGAACTCTGGGCGAACACCCTCCTCAGCAGGAGCATGGCTGGTCCCCAAGCTCACAGGCAGCCCACCGTGCCCTGGGGTCACACAACCCTGAGTGAAACACGCAGACAGCCTGTCCTGCCCAGCGACGTCTGAAGCCCTGTGTTTCCTACCAGTGAGTGAACGGCGCTGACACAGAGCGCAGGCTCGGCCTGCGTGAAGCCAGGCGGGGAGCAGAGGGACCCCGGGCACCAGGGAAGAGCCTAGCCCGGGAGTCGCAGGCCCGGAGCCCCTCTCCCTGCGGCAGAGAGCTGAGAAGTCGGGAGGACCGGCCGGTCCACACGGAGGCGAGCACTGTCTGCAGCGGCTCTCAACCCCACATACAGCACGCACGCAGGGAAGCCGGTCCCAGTGTGAGACACGCCAGATTTCAAAGCCCTCCCTCCAACAAAGAATGTGAAAATACCTCATTTTCCTGTTAATCACGTGTGCAAAGCCTAACATTTCGGACACACTGAGTCAAGTCAATCATAATTCTAAAATTAATTGCACCCGTTCTTACTGTTCTTTGATGTGGCTACCAGAAGAGTCTGAGCTACCCTGTGGCCTGCACGTGTGGTACAGGTGCATTGTCCACTGGCCACTTAGTTGATCAAGATGCTGGTGGTCAGGGCAGGGCCACTGTGCAAAGGAGCCCCCACCTGACCACCGGCGGCCCCAGGAGGCTGTGCTCCCCTCCAACAGTTCCCTGCCGGCACACCAGCTGCTCTCCGACACTCACCTCTCCTAAAAGCATCAGCCAGAAAAACCAGCTTCCCGCACATCCCACTCTGCGGAGACTCGGAATTCCCAGAGCCGCCAGCCCCCGGCCAGCACGGGAGCCATGGGGAGTCAGCGTGTGTTGTCCCCCCAGGAGGGTCTGTCGGGGGGCCACGCACGTGTACACATCCGCAGCATGTCTACGTGGCGGGCTGCCCCCGCATGGTCCCAGTGCACATCACCAGCTAATCAGGTGCAGGCCGTGACCCGGGGCCGAAGATGCCACCTGCCCTCCCTCACGTGAATCCCGCCCTGTGGTTAGTGAACACCAGCTCCCGAGAAAAGCTGCACAACCTTTGAGATGAAACTCAGCGCAGGGCCTATCTGCTGGCCTCGCACCCTTCCCCGAGAATGCACCGCCAGCGGGGACCTGGGGGCCCAGACGGGCAGCTGGCCAGAGCTGGTGGCGGACAGGCGCTGGGAGGCCGCTTCTAGAGAGAACGATGCGCAGGATGCAGACTGCTCCGTGCACAACAAGGGGCACCCACGTGGGCGCACATTCATGGACACCCCCGTCGATTAGAAATGCTCAGCTCCTCCTGGTGTGAGGCCGCTCCTCCCAAGAGCTGTCTCCACCCCATTCGGTTCCTCAAACTCCATCGGCAGTTTCCCCGGCGGGCGGTCCTGAAAGGCGCATCGCCGCAAGGGATGCTGATTCCCTTAGGATTTCAGTTTCCAGTGCGGCTCGTTTTGTTTTTAGTTGTACCTCTGGGTGCCTCCTCTGGAGGGAGCATCCTCACGGCAGGACGGCCGGGCTCCCCGACTCTGGGCTACTCCTCACCAGCCAGGCCCAGCTCGAGAGCAGGGCCTGGCGTGTCCCCACCCCCAGGCAGGACTCCCAGCCCGCACCACGCCCCGCTCCTCCCGTGGGCCCCACCTGCCCTTTGGCGGAGCAGTCTCGGCAGCGCCCTCCGAGCGCGGGCAATTCCAGGCCTAGAAACGGCTTTGTTCCATCCTCCCCTCTCACTGACACTTCGACAAATAGGTGATTCCAGAATAAACGCTTTTCCTACAGGTTTTGAAGGCACTGCTCAGCCGCCTTCCCGGTGCTGTGGCCGGGGACCTGAGGCCCTTCTGTGGGCCTGCCGTGTTTCTGAGCATTGGCAATGGACCCTTTGACCCCAGCTCCTGGTGCTTCACAGGGGGGACTGGTCAGCCACAGCTGTGGGTCAAGTGGCCACAAGCCCAGCTGCGTGTGCCGAAGCCCATGGGTCTGAGGCCCCGCTGTCCTGCTCACTTGCCTGTGGGAGCCACCGGGGTGGAGGGGGAATCACGCTCACATAGCCCCCCACTCTTGGAACAGCACCCCCAGTCCAGAGAGCCCAGAACACCACACCTCCAGTACCAGCAGCACAAAGCAGGAGGGGAGCTAGGGCCCCTGCCTCCTTACACCCCATCTATCACTGTCTCCCCCCCTCCCTTGCCTCCTTGCCCAGCCATCACCCACCCCAGCCATGATCCCGTGCAGCCACTGCCTGGGCTCTGACTTGTATCTTTATGAAATCCTTCAGTGTTGGTCTAGTTGCCTTTCAGGAGGAAGATCAACAATACACATTATCCCGTGAACCCTTCCTGTTCCTCATTTCTGCTGCAGGGCCTTTGCACTTGCTGTCTCCTTGGCCCAGAAGGCTCCTTCCCAGATCCTGGTGCAGCTGAGACCTCCCCCGCCACCCAGAAAATGTTGCCCCACGGCCTCCCAGGGTGCCCTCCCTTCTGCTCCGTGACATCTTCCTGTAGCTCTGTACCCCGGCTGCTTGCTGCAGCCCCGCCAGGCCGGAGCGGTCCAGACGAAAGAAGGACAAACAGACACAGCCATTGAGGGCAAGCACCTGCAGCCCCGGCCCCTGAGCTTTGAGGAGCACCTCCTCCTCCAAGTATCCCATCCTTCCTCCGGAAGTAGGGTAATAGAAGCCCGGCCTCACCCAGCTAATGGGAAGCGCAGGTCAGATAACACACCACTGGCAGCACAGGGAGGCCACCACTGTGGCTGGCCAGCGAACAGGGGGGCTGCCAAGTCCTCCCTGGAAGCACCGGGGAGGAAGACTGGCTGCCAGGGCCCAGGCTCGGGGGGGAGCAGAAGGGAACCACGTGGTCTTGGCACAGCAGCCCCCACAACCATGTCATTAAAAGAACCAGCACACTGGGGCTCCTGAGGGGCTCAGTCATTGAGCGTCTGCCTTCGGCTCGGGTCATGGTCCCAGGGTCCTGGGATCGAGCCCCGCATTGGGCTCCCTGCTCAGCGGGAAGCCTGCTTCTCCCTCTGCCACTCCCCCTGCTTGTGTTCCCTCTCTCGCTGTGTCTCCCTCTGTCGAATAAATAAAATCTTTAAAAAAAAAAAGCATTTAATAAATAAATAAATAAAAGGACCAGCACATCAGAAACGGGAAGAGCCCCAACAGAACAGCTCAGGTTGCAGGGGGGGCAGGAGTCCGCTTCCGGGACAGCAGGGGCCATGGGCACCGCGATCAGTGTGGGCTGTCCTATGGCGAGGCTCTGTCACCAGGAGGGCCCTATCCGGAGGCCCCTCTTCCACACACACAAACCTCAGGGCCAGGCCTGTTCTCAGGACTGGAGACATATTCGCTCACCCCATCCTCACATCGCCCTTGGGAGGCCCACACACAACCAGCCCAGGGCCACACAGTGACCACCACACCCTCCCACGGTCCCTTCCACTCCGCGGGCCAAGACTTTCACAAGTGGACAAAGACTTCCATGCCAAAATGAAAGACCAAAATGTAAAGTGCTACTGTTCTGAAGCCTTCAGAAATAACATTTAAACCGTTAATTACCAGACGGAAACAGACTCATCAAACACCATTAAGATTTTCTTTTTAAACGTGACCCGTTTTCACGATAAGGAAGTTTTATACCTAAAGCATTGGTCCACTGAGCAGCCCAGAGCCCCCTGTTCCCCTCACTGCTCACTGAGCCCCCCATAAGGATAGAAGCACAGCTTTGCCCTTCCAGGAGGACACAGATCGCCCCGTCATGAGAGGAAACCCAGTAAAAAAGATGAGCTGCGGGCAGCCAGGACCTGCTGGATAGGCACCTCCCTCATCTCAAACCAGTCCTCTCACCAGGATCACAGAGCCCAAAAGGTACGGCCTCAGGCCACGGCAAACCTCAGGGCTGTGGCTCTGGACCAGCCCCACTGACCCAGCAGCACCCTCTCCACACAGTGGGGCAGAGCGCGGAACCTGCCCACGAACGCTCACCTGGTCTGTGCAAAATGGCTGAGAAGCTCCCAGAGCGTCTGGCCTGAACAGAAAGTGTCTTGCAACCTAGAGCCATCATCCAGCTGCAGAGCGATGCGAACCTGAGGGGTGCAGGTGTAGGAAACCAAGTCAGGAAGAAAAGCAGCTGTCCCACCCCGGGCCCACGTCCCAGTCTCAGGGCACACAGGGAAGAGAGCCCTGTCCTTTGGGGCTGCAAAGACCTTGTGGGCACATGGGAAGCTGCCCCCTGAACACTCTGCAAACGTCTGCTTGTTGCTGTAAGTTGCCGTACCTGGGGTTAACCTGTCGTGCAGCAATAGATCACAAGCGTGGTATGTCTCCTGAGCTTTCTTCACAAATGAGCACAAGTTTGCAGCTTTGTGGTTAACAACTACATCCGTAAGTAGGGACTTGGGTCTATAACCCCAAAATAAGAAATTCCTCTCTGGTCCCTCTGCAGAGTGACAGACACACTGGGGCACGCATGCACAGAGCCCGGAGGCGAGCGTGTGTCCAACACCCACAAGCACCTCCCTCAGCCCCACCTGTCACGGCTGAGCGCTGGGTTCTCCAGTCCTACTACCGCTCTGGCCAGACACATGGTCAAGTGCACATCTGCACCGAATCCCAATAACAAAGGGGGAGTGCTCTGGGTGCGGGTGCAAGAGAATCTTCCTATGACCCCCAGCAGCCCCAAGGAAGCCCCAAGGGAAGTCAGGGTTCCTTCCACTTGAAAGTTTGAGAACCACAGTCATGAGGAAAAGAGGGGTGCTGGGGCCAGTCCCCACCGCCCAACTCCTGGTGAGCTCCAGAGAGCTGACGTCCTCAGGGGCCAAGCTTCCTTGCCTCTTGACAGGGATGGAGGCTGCCTTCCCTGCAGTGTCTGCAGGGCCCACACAGAGACACACAGAAGTGAGCAACCAGCACTGTGGTCGTCTACACCCATGATGACCGTGGGGTCGTCCACTCAATCTCTAGAACCTAAAAGCTACTGATATGGTGGACCACCGCGGGCCGTGGTCCAAGACTCGGGCCGTGGTCCAGGTGAGGCCTGTGAGGTCCTCCGCCCAAAACTAGGCTGCACTCGACATCCCACAGGAACTCTGCAGGCTCCAATCGCTTAGCGATTCTATGACCAGAGTCATCAGGCTGGGCAAGTGCTGCTGACAGAGCACAAGTAACCTCCCCCAGAGATATAAAGTCAGAGCAAAGACTGAAAAGGCTCACTTCCAATCCACTGCTGACCCCCAGACAGCAGTGTGGGTGTGAGGACACGGGCCTCACCCAGCACACTGCCCTCCATTTACCCTCACGCTCCTCCAACCGCTGCAACAGACCATCCTGTCTGCTCAGCATGCCGAAGCATCCTGCAGCCCAAACAGCCTGAACGAAAGAGCCAGAAGCAGCAGTGTCGCTGGCCGCTCCCTGAGAGCCACCTACCATGTTCTCAGGCCCCTCGCGGCTCCGGGAGATGGGCACCATCTCCAGCTTGGCATTATTGGGCAGATTGGCAAATCTCCACTGGAGAGAGAGGTCAAGCACATTCCTCTGAAACCTGCAAAACAAGCCACAGCTCACAGGCTGCCCTGCAGATCCTAACATAGGCCAGCTTCCATACAGCGCCTGGCACAGCCCTGCCAGGAGCAGGGGACAAGCTGAGTGATGTGCATGTCCATGCAGCCAACTCCCCAGCCAGTGCCCCCAAGGCTGCAGGAACAAAGAGGTACAGCCCGCAAGCTTGCAGGGACAGAGCGGGTCCCTGTCTGCAGTGGGTCTTCCAATGAAAAGAGAAAGTGGGCACTGACTCCGCTTTGAGCATACAGGGACAGAGCAAGAGGGAGAAACCAGAAACGGGTCACCCTCTGGGGCAGACCAAGGGGCTGCCCACCCCACCAGGCCTAAAGCAGCAACGGGCCCAAGTACAGGCTCAGAAAATAAAAACACACCCGGGGCAACTGAGGGGCGTGTACCTACCTCTGCTCAGAAAGTTCTAACCTGCTTCTGACAGGTGTGTGGGGGGGGGAAAGACAGAGCACACGGCTCTGTAACAGCATGCCGGGGGACTGCCAGCCCAGAGCACAGCCCTGGGATTCTGAGCGGCAGCACTGGCGAGGCCCAAGAAAGCAGGCTCCCGCACCACGGGTTCCCCTCTGTGCCTGATGTGAAGACACCCGTACCATTAAGACATGCTGCTAAGGTGAAAAGCTCCTCAGGCGGGACAGAAACCCACACCCTACCAAGGCGGGGTTCTGACCCTTTTGTTGTTTTAGACCACTTAAGAATCCGGTGAAAGCCCTCTCTCTAGAAAAATGCCAACGCACAGAGACCCATGCATGCAACTCCAGGGCCGAGAGGCTGCCAGAGCCACCCGGTTTGCTGAGTTTTTCCCATTTTCCTGCAAGACCACGTCTTCTTGCCTTCAGAGCCCCACCAAATGCACAAAAACCCTCTGCAGAGACCCCTAAAAAAAGACACATCCACAGCCTAACCCCCAGAACCCGGGAATGTGACCTTACTTGAAAATAAGGACTTTGCAGATAAAACTCAGTTAAGGATCTCGAGATGAGGTCATCCTGGATTGGGGTGGGCCCTAAATCCAATGACAAGTGTCCTTATAGGAGACAGAAGAGGAAAAGACACACAACACAGAGGGAAAAGGCGGCCTGAGGAGGAGGTAGAGGCTGAGCGCAAGCCCGGAAGCCACCAGAAGCTGCGGGAGATAAGGGAGGCTCCTCTCCTAGAGGCTTGCAGGGAGTGTGGCCCTGCCAACACCTTGACTTTGGGTTTCTGTGAGAAAATGAACGTGTTGGCTTAAGCCCCAGGCAGGGCGCTGGGGAGGGGTGCACGGACTTGGGACCCTAGCAAACTCACTTCAGATCGTATTCGCTGGGGTTGAAATCCTGTCGGCGGCACGTGTCCTCCAGAACCTAGGAGTCAGACGACAGGCCTGTGAGCCCCCGTGTCTGGCCTGGTGGCTGGGCTGCCATCTCTCGATGAGCTAATCGGCTTTGCCAGACCAAGCGTAGTCCAGACCCCATGCTGGACTGTCCACTCCACAGATGCACACACCTCACCTGCAACTCCTATTCACCCTGCCTCTCCTCACGGGGCCTGCCTCGTCACAGCCCACCACCAGACCTCCTGCTACGCGCTTTGGGAATAAAGGTCAACCTCGGGCCCCACCGCCCGCAGGGCTTCACCGTCCTCCCCACGAGCCGCCGGCACAGACGGCCCCCCGCTTCTGGGCCCCGAAAGCACACTGCTCAGTCCGCCACCGCCCCACCCCGGCGTACCCTCCCGGTACGCGCACCGGCCCCTGGACAGCGGGGCCCGAGAAGCCTCTTGAATGCAACAGCTGTCCCGGAGAAAGTGCAGCGAGTGACTCAGCAAATCAGTTCCCAGGCGCCAAGGCCGCACACCCAGGGGACACCGGGCCGGAGGACGCCCCGAAATGGGGACACGGCTCGGGACTCTGTCGCGGACTCCGTGGGGCGGAAGGAGGTGCGGCCCCCCGACTCCCGCCAGCCCGACCCCAGCCCCGCGGGGACCCGCGGAGCCCCAGAGCCGGGAGCCCTGCGCGGAAGGGGGCGGGCCCGCCGCGCCAGCAGGCCGCTCATTGGCCGCCGCGGGCCCCCGCCCCTCAGGCCCCGCCCCCGCGGCCTTCCGGAGCCAACCGCAGGCGCGGGCCCGGTACCGCGCCCCCGCCGCCGCTCGCCCGGCCGCCGCCACGGCCCGCCGCCGCCGCACCTGCAGCAGCACGGTGCTCGGCGTCACCTTCACCGTGTGGCGCCGCCCGTTCGGGGCCAGCACCGACACCGCTGAGCCCCCGCCGCCAGCCGGGGCCGCCATCTTCCGCTCACGTGACCCGCCGCCGCCAGCTCGGCGTCAAACCACTTTCTCGCTAACAGCCCGGACGCACAGCCACGCGGTGGCGGGGCGGAGCCTGGGGGGCGGAGTTAGCGCTCGTTTCCGGGCCCGCCCTGACGTCTGGGTCCCGCCCCCGACTCGGGCCCCGCCCCGACGCCTTATCTGAACCCCAGAGCGCTAGCGGCGCGCGTGGTCCGCCGCGGACACCCCAACGGGCGCCGCGTGGCTGCGGGCCGCGAGCTCGCGTGGCCTGGGCTCCGGGTTCCCACCGGGCCACAGCGCCTCGCCGGCCTGGGCCTCGATTGCCCTTCGGCCTCCCACCCCCCCCCCCCCCCCCCCCCCCCCCCCCCGTCTCCAACGCTCGCCCACCTGCCCCGCTTCCTGCCCACTTCCCCCCAGTCCCCTGTGGTCACCTCCGCCTGCGGCCCTGGGGGGGTGGTGTGAAGGTCAGGGACCGGCTCAGGGTAAAGGTCGGCCAGAGGCTCCAGACCAGAGAGAGTGCATTCGCTGAAAGTCGGAGACCTGCGTTCTACACGCTGGGTACTGGACTCGCTGTAACCAGCTGCTGTCCGCTGAGCGAGAACTTGTCCGCGATTCCAGCTCCCCGCAGTGGGAATCTGTGGAAGGTCGGGGAGGAGGGGCGCGTGGAATCCTACTACCCCTCCGGTGTGGGTGCTGTCTCACCTTCACATCGGTGACACACACCTCTTGCGAACCCACTGACTGAGGAACACAGACACGTGCCTGCAAATGGAGGGAAACTGGGGAAAGTTTCAGGGTAGCTGCAGCTCCAGGGACACCCCTCGTGGTCCAGCCTCATGGTCCAGGGTCCAGGCAGCAGTGCAAAGCCCAGTGTGACCTGAGTGTCCCACTGAGCCCTCTCACCATTGGTGAGCCCCTCCCCTGAGGCCACAGAGCATCACAGGACGTTGGCGATGTCACATGGGAGGCACTTGGAAGGTCATGTGGTCCAGCCCCAATACCAGCCACTGCGAGGTCTTCACTGGCTCAGAGACAAGGCTCCTGCCCTGTCCCTTCCTTGCTATGGCCTTATCCACTTCTACCTCTCACGTGGGTCTCAGTGTCTGTGTGTGGCTGGGCACACACACTCTTGGGGCATTTGTGGTCGCTGCGGGGTCAAGCTCTCCCACCACACCCTTCTGCCCATCATGCCCCCACAGGCAGTTCTGTGGGAGACAGCGCCCTGCACCCCAAGCTGTCCCCAGCCCCGCCTCTTGGGCATGTCGGCCTGCAGAGGTTCCCTCGCAGCCTCATCTCCACAAGGATAGGCCTTTCATGCTCGCTCACTTGTTTACTGTTCTTTCTGTCTGTGGAGCCCTTCACGGTGCCGGTTCACAGGGCACAGTAAGCAGAGCCGACCCTGGCATGGGGCAGGTGTTTGACCGTTGCTGGTACAACAAACACATGGCTCCCCCTAACTGGGTCTTCCCCTGCCACCGCTGATCCTCACCTATCACAGGCAGGGTGCCCCAAACTGTGGGATCTGCGTTGGGGCACTGGCAGTGGGAGTGCGGGAGTCAGGGCAGAGCCACCTCCCCTTAGTGGCCTGTCTGGGCTGGACCAGGACACAGTGAGGCATCTGTGAACTCAGTGTCTCTGGAGTTTGGCTTGGAGCCCTGGGGTGCTGGACCCACAGCTTGACAAGTCTCCGAAGGCAAGAAACACCCAAAAGTGGCTCCCCGTTGGACAGGGGTTGATTTCAGGCCAGAGCCAAACATTCAGGTCCTGGGTGTGCCAGCTCCCCCACAGTGGGAAGGCCCCTCACCTGCCTTTGGTGACTGCACACTCGGGGCTGAACACACACACTGGGACCACGTGTTTGCTCTCCTGAGAGGCCTGCCTTCCTAGGCTCCTCTCTGCAACTCAGCACATTTACTTAGCACTCCATCACCTCCTGCAGGCATTTCCTGCACAGCCTTGATCTACCCAGATTCCAGGACCATCACAGCAGAGTCCACCAGAGAAGACCGTGGGGTCAAAGGTCATCTTTGGGAAGTTTGCAAGGCCAGGAAGGGGAGTCTTTACCTAGGTGTTTTGTTCAGCATCTGTGTGCAGCTCGTGTTTTTCTTGCCCAATTTGATATCTCAGAGAAGAGCAGTTCTGCCCATTAATGTTCACAGCAGCTTTATTTGTGATAGCCAAAATCTGGAATGAGCCCGGATGTCCTTCAACGGGTGAGTGCTTGAACACACTGTGGCACAGTCCCCCTGCGGGACACCACTCAGCAATCCAAAAGGACAAGCTGCGGGTCCAGCAACCTGGGTGGCTCCCCAGGGAAGTGTACTGAGGCATGAAAAGCCATTCTCCAGAGGCTACAGGCATATGGTAGAGCTGCATTTATACAGCCTTTTGGAAATGGCAGCATTTTAGACATGGTGGACCAAGGAAGGGTTGCCGGATGTTGGGGCAATGGTTTGTTGGGGGAGGGGGAGGTGAAGCCAATGTGACTATAGGAGGGCAAAGCCAGGGACCCTCAGGGAAACGTCAAGGGGGGTACACTGTATCCACATCACTGTCCTGATGGTGATATTGTCCATAGTTCTGCCAAATGTTATGATCACTGGAAAGGGGGCAAAGTGTGCAAGGGCTGGCTCCATACCATTTCTTACGATTCCACATGATTCTATCATTATCTCAACAAAATTTTCAATTAAAAAATGGCATCTGTAGGGGCTCCCGGCTGGCTCAGTCGGAGGAGTGTGCAACTCTGGGTCTCAGGATCATGAGTTCGAGCACCATGTTCAGTGTAGAGGATTACTTAAATAAAAATTTTAAGGGACACCTGGGTGGCTCAGTTGGTTAAGCGTCTGCCTTTGGCTCAGGTCATGATCCCAGGGTCCTGGGATGGAGTCCCGCATCGGGCTCCTTGCTCAGCGGGGAGTCTGCTTCTCCTTCTCCCTCTGCTGCTCCCCCTGCTTGTGCTCCCTCTCTCTCCCTCTCTGTCAAATAAACAAAATCTTAAAAAAAAAAAAAAACGGCAGAGGCAGACACTTAACCGACTGAGCCAACCAGGCGCCATCCCCCCCTTGTTAAAAAAAAAAAAAAAAACTTAAAAAAATGACATTTAAAGAAAGCTAAACCCCTAATACAGTAAACCAGCACTTTCCATTCCTTCTCTATCCTTTCTTCTAGATGACCACCGTTAGCAGCTTGTCACATTTGCCTTCTCTCCGTGCATTTGTGTCTGCACTTGTATTTATATTTGAAAGTCAGCTGACGATATCCTGGCGCTTCCCGTCCAAATCACCCAGCAGCACCTCCTACGAACCAGGACCTTCTCCTACCTCACCGTAACCTGTCCCTGCACCCAACAAGCATATAGTCATGGATGCAATGATATTATCTAACACACACTTCACTTTAGGCTTGCCCTTGTCCCAAAATGGTCCTTTACAGCTGGCTGTCACATTGCATTTGGTCGACACATCTGTTTGTGCTCCTTTAATCCACAACAGACCCTCCATCTTTTGTTTTGCTTGTTTTAATTTTTCATGACACTCACATTTTGTGAGGAACCCAGACCCATTTTCTGTAGACCATTCCGTAGTCTGGATCTGCCTTCTGGGGCTAAACATTCAGAGCAGTGAGGCAATGCAGGGGGGACAGCAGATCAGGGGATCCAGGACATCGACTTGTCCTGTTAGTGGGGAGCAAATCTGGACACTTGGTCAAGGTGGGTCTGCCAGATTTCTCCACGGTCAAGGTCCTTCATAGAATGAATAAACCATGTGCGGGGCAAATCTTTGAAACTGTAAATACGTTTTTCCAATAGCCATTTACCCAGTGGCTTTAGCATCCGTTGATGGTTGTTGTCTGAATCCTTCATTACGTTTATGACTGCAAAGTCATGACTTCCTAATTTTATCATTTCCTTTACATGTAATAGGCTTTTTGGTTTTTTGTTTTGTTTTTTTGTGTTTTGTTTTGTTGAGAAATGCTTTCCCTCCTTTAAAAAAAAATTCTTGGGATGCCTGGGTGGCTCAGTTGGGCATCTGCCTTCGGCTCAGGTCATGATCTCAGGGTCCTGGGATCGAGCCCCGCATCAGGGGAAGCCTGCTTCTCCCTCTGCCACTCCCCCTGCTTGTGCTCTTTCTCTCTGACAAATAAATAGAATCTTTTTTTTTAAAGACTTTATTTATTTAGGGCGCCTGGGTGGCTCAGTTGGTTAAGCGACTGCCTTCGGCTCAGGTCATGATCCTGGAGTCCCGGTGATCGAGTCCCGCATCGGGCTCCCCGCTCAGTGGGGAGTCTGCTTCTCCCTCTGACCCTCTTCCCTCTCGTGCTCTCTATCTCTCATTCTCTCTCTCTCAAATAAATAAATAAAATTTAAAAAAAAGACTTTATTTATTTATTTGAGAGAGAGAATGAAATAGAGTGAGAGAGCATGAGAGGGGGAAGGGTCTGAGGGAGAAGCAGACTCCCCGCTGAGCAGGGAGCCCGATGCGGGACTCGATCCCAGGACTCCAGGATCATGACCTGAGCCGAAGGCAGTTGCTTAACCAACTTAGGCCACCCCGGCCCCCCATAAATAAAATTTTAAAAAAAAAATTCTTAAATGTTAATATGAATTCGTAGATTCTTTTTGATGCTCAAACTGATCCAAATTTGGTCAATGAGACCCCTTCATTCTGGCTCCCTTCTTTTTGGAGGGGGGTGATTTTTATTTTTATATCGTTTCAAATTTAAAAGA